GCCTTTGACAAACCTCCCCGTGGCATCGGGCCGGGTTTCCTTCGGATAGACGGGCCGTCGCACTGGTTTTGATGTTACTGTTGGGCCGGCCAACTTCCGATTTCAGATTACTCGGTTGCACTGTTGCCTCGCTGCATGGCTCGGATTCCGCTTGTGGAACCTTTTTTAGTTCGGGCGGCAAAGGCTTATTGACTATTCGTGTCATTTTTGGGGACTTTTTGCTTGAAGGGCTGGAGTTCGATGTAGGAAAACCCCATCTGAGTCTAGGGTCTAGCACAGCAGCCAAAAATCCGGCGAACTTATCTCAGTCTGTTTATTGCAAACACAAAGCTCAAGACCGATAGCCGCTAGCCGGAAGCCTGTAAGCCCGAAGCTCCGAAGGTCATCAAGGGTGCCGGCGCCACACCCATGGCGCCGGGTATCTGGGCTTCTGACATGCCAGGGACCACAGAGACGGGGCGGCATCTGGCCGTGGGGCTTGTGCAGGTTGGAGAGTTCGAGAGGGTATTCCGAGTGTCCAGACTTGTAGGTTTCGAGTTTTCGAATCATTGCTCTTACGCTTCCAGCCTGTTTGTTCCTTTGAAGGTGACTATGGGGCGTTTGCCATGAAATGTCAATAAATCCACTTTTCAACTCCAAAACCTATCGCACAAAGCCGAGACTGACCTGCTTTGTTTTGTGGTTTTGATCAGGCAGGGTGTTGTGTCAGGCAAAGGCTTTGGGGTCTCAACCCCGTCGTGTCCCAGTGTACATTCCCGAAAACGGGTCAGGTCAGCATTCTTCCGGGTGGAGGAAATGGGGGGCTTCTGGTTCCAAGAGTCGTTTTAAATAGAAATGTATGGCACTAGGGGACCCAAAATACCTTATTCCAATATTAAGGCCCTATGTTTTTATGACTTTATGACCGTATCCCGGCTTTTCTCTAAAGCCGCTCGGTGTTTCAGCTCAAGGTCCGAGCTCGTCACCTTCCACAACAAGGCAGCGGGCTGTCGGGCTCGGCGTTTAGCGGTCAGGCTTGTCAGGGTTATGCTAATAATACGTAGTAATATATTAATAGTGGCAATAGTAATATTAACAATAGTAATAGTAAAGAAGGTTGTAAGTAGCTCAATTGGGGTTATAAGTAGTTAGAATAAGAATAGTTACTTTAACTTATAGCCCTAGTTAGCAAGTCGCATGACATCCCTAAAGCTTTTGGGCATTTCTCAAGGCGAGTGTAGAGCTGAGTAGACGCACAAGGACACCAGCCAAGCTCTTGATGTCAACAGTTGCCTCCGATATAGACAGAGCTCGGCTTTCACAACGGCCGCTCTTGACGTGGATGGTCTTTTGTCCTTGGTGTTGGGGTGTACTCGTAGGCCGAATCCTGAACCTTCCAACGCCCCACGGTCTCTCAACCCTGGGTCCCAGGCGCTGCGCAACCACACTCCGTCGGAAACCCATGTTGATGATCAGTTTATGGCGCACGAAGTTATGCAGGACAGTAGGACCCATGGTTATCGGAAGAACACAGGCTGAGAAGGATTGCGGGCAGCCTTCTGCGCATTGCCTAGGAGTGAGGAGTTCTGGATATGCCTCTGAACAAAGCACTAGATTTCTTCCCTGCGCAAGTCATAAACCTAACATCTCAAATCCGGAAAAGCCCTAGAAATGCACGATCTGGTGGCGATCTGGATCTTTTGAAACGGTTTCCTTGAACCCTGCCACTGATTATGATTCAATGTATACGGATCAGGGCTGCGACTTTGAAAACGGTTTTCAGACGATACTTGAGACTGCGCAGCCAAGGTCGCAGCTGGAGCTCCTACCTCAAGAGGATCCGAACAAAAAGAAGAAGAAAAAGAAGAAGGCCATCTGACCGTGAAGGCAGTTCTAAGGCTAAACCGAGTGGTTCTGCCTAAGTTGGGCGATAGGGATGTCGACCGGAGTTCCATCGACCACCGCCGGTGATGAAGTTGTTCTCTCAAAAGGGTGCCGTGTTGGACAATTGAAGTCCTGTCGGTACGCTATGACTCAGAAGCCCCAGTGCTAGCATGAAGAGGCCTCCTGGAGTTGTTCATCGAAGCCTATAGATTCCATCAGAGCTTTACTTTAATGCATCCCGACCTGCGTTTTTGTGCATGGCAAGCTCGGTTCGTGGCAAAGGGCTGCGTGCAGGCTGCATGCTAACTCGGCTGTTGGACCAGCGCTTCTCTCCACGCCCGAAACGCCCAACCCAGCCCGCGGCCCTCAATTTAACAACACACCAAATCCCTCTAGCAATCTGCCAGGAGGACGACGACGAGATGGCGACAAGTGAGCGAGAGCTCTACGAGGTTCCGACATCTAGGAAAGCCCTGTCTAGAGTCTAAAGCTGAATCGAATCAAGCGACTCTTCATGAAGAACTTTCCGCATGAGCAGGCCGACAAGTCCTACAGGAACATTCGGAAAATCAGGCGAGATCGGGAGCCTGGAGTGCTTACGGAGGGGATCTGTGGTTCAGAGCTTTATCATGCGGGAGTTTGGGCATGAGAGTTGCAGGTGCAGGGCCGAGTTGAGCGTTCAGGATGCTTTGGTTTAAATGGGGCAAGGGTGGCAGAGGCATCGGCTCGGCCTGGAAGAAGAGTTTGAGGTTTTTCAGAGTCGCTTCAGCTACAGGTGCCGAGGCTGTAGGCCTCACCCGGGAGAGATGAAATTGCGGGAATCGGGGGCAGGTGCTCAACACATCCGAAACTCCAGGTAATGGAGACTTGGAATAGTTCCTTTCTTGGGGTCCGCAGCACGTTGCACATCTCAAGTAGTCGTCTCTAAAAGCCTCCAAGCGCTGGACTTTGACTGTCCACCGCCTTTCAGCCAGCTTCCAGATTTAACCCATGTCTGTGCCCATGTGGAGGCGTGCCTTCTACCCCGACTCCTTCGGAAGGGAGAAGTGGCCCTGACTCGCTTGAAGAACAGAGCAGTGCTTCCAGAAAAAGGTAGCTCGGATTGTTCCTGTATTCAGCTTGAGATGTGGAAGCTTCTTGGAAGCCGACGTTCCCCAACTTCTAGACAAGACATGAGCCGGACAGCATCTTGGCTGGACATGTGAACTTCCCGGATCCCATGAGGAATGTGCAACTGGCTTGGGTATTACCGATGTTCGACCCTCTTGCCTGTTGAGTGCATCGGGCTGTGAAACGGTCAGCCCTCGCTTCGTAGCTCAAGAGATCAGATGAGTGCATCTGCTGAGAAACAGGACTCACAAAGAGCTTGTCATCGAGAAGGACTTGGCCTCAGTCAGTTGCTGTCTGCGGGGTGAGCTGTGGGCTGCCCGGAGCTTCAGGACGCAATGCTGTTGCGATAGTGCTGCGTGGTAGTTCAGGAATCAAGACCAATGCAACGGTTTCATATTGCAGTCTTCGACATATGGGCCTCACACCAGGGGCTGGGATGGGAGAATATCCTGACTGTGCTTCAGATGAGGTCACCTCGATGATCTCGACGCCATTTATCAAGCACACAAACTCTCCGACGTGAGGCTTGGATTCCCAATGTCGCTAGTCTGTGCTGCTCTTTCCCTGCAGCTACGATATGACCCTAAAGTCTTACATGCAGAAGAGATCGTATTTTGGCTGCCTTGGCTTGTAGCATAATGTATTGAAAGGCAGCAGCGACAAATAACGACAAGGGAAAACGCCGGATCAATAAGTTTGACCAAAGCATGGGGCTCGGCCTGTAAGTCATCCCTTCATCCACATTGTCGAGGAAAAGGTAGACCAGGTAGACAGTGCTTAAAGTCTTGAGCACTCCATGCATGCGCATGGCATACACCGCTTCAATCACTGACCGACCGTCGACTCGGAGCCATCGACTCAAAATATCTGAACTTTGGACTGGAATCCCGCACGCCAAAAGCACAACCCGGATATATGATGTACAGTTGCGCAGCAAATGCCCACAGAAAAAGGCCTCTGACAGCAGGAAGCGATGTTTCTGTCCATCCGTGGCTGTTCATGGTACATACCTTCAAATTAAGTTTCTTGAGGCTTTCGATGTGATTAAGACGTTTGTGCTTCTCTTGATGTCAGGTATGCCCGAACTGCAGGGTTTGAAGGCTCCGGCGCATGTCCATCCGCTTGCTTAAGGTCGATCGGACGAAACAAGTGTGTCCCGCCAGGGTATGCCAGCCCAGGGGGTATATGAAGGTTCTTCTCTTGCGATGCAGTCACTTGCCAAACATCGCTCCTGCTGACGGCAGAGCCTGTTGCGTTTCACACGAAATTCGCTTCTTGCGCTGGTGGCTCCGGCCGCGCGCGGCATGTCAATGCAGCTGAAAGCCAAGCACCCAGCAGTGGGTTTCGGTGTCCTGGTTCTCAGCATAGGAGAGCGATTCACTAGCAGCACTAGCAGCGAGGTCGGCCGGAGTTGTATATTTTGCAGGGAAATCGCCGAGATATGTCTCAAGGACAGGTCCCGTGGCGCTCGCATCACGTTTTTGTTTCACCGCATCATTTTGCCTGTTGCTAGTGGCAAAGAGCAAAGAGAGAGGCAAGACTAATCTATCTATGCTCCGCTGTTCCGCACCATGGGCGGCCCAAGTGGATCGAAAGCCCTCAGCCCAGATGGCCCTTCCTGCCTCCAAACTTATCCGGCACAGTGTTTAGAGCATCTTGAAATTGCGTGCACGAGGAGTAGTATCCACACTGTCTGTATTTGTGGTAGAGGTAGAGCAGCGGTTGGAGTTGGACTGCTGCAAGGGCTCAAAGGACGCGAGTTCACCGCCGCAGAGCTGCTGCGAAGGTTCGGGGCTTGGACGAGTGATTTGGAACCCGAACTCCAAAGGCACAACTTCTAGAGACGCGCTGGCCAGGGAAACTATGACAGTTTCAGCTTGTGCATTTTTCAGTGCCGTCAGCATCTTCCGATGCATCTGAACTGCTTTACATAGAGTCTTAGGTGTCAGCATTTGATTTTTTCGAAGGTGTTGGACATGGCTGAGTTTCAGTTTGAACGATGTGCTGAGGCCGTGGCGGCAGCTGCGATGGCGGAGTGCAGGGCTTAGAACACGACGCAAGGTGACGGTCTGCGTGAGACAACCGTAACGATTAGCAGCATGATCGATGTGGTTCATGCTTCGATAATTTTACATCATGACTGGTGGTGACGAGAATATGGCTGTGTTGATTCGTGAAGTACTGCTCGGCTTCTGGATTCTAGGCCGCCCCTGAGCCGCGTCTTTCCGGGCGGCGCGCCCTCGCCTTCGGCTGGGACACCAAAGAGTGCAGGGACGAAGGGAGGATCGGTTCAGGGTTGATGGGCATTGCAGCGCTCAGGATTTAAGCGGAGTGCAGGATTGGCTTTATTGCCTCGAGTTTGGCATCAAGCCGCTGTGGAGGGTAGGGGCTTCGAGACTTAGGACTTGGGTTCAGTGGGATTAAGATTGTGGTTTTTCAGGCTTGGGGTCTGCGGTAGGGCCTGCAAGCAGCGAGGGCTCTGGACACTCTAGCAGCCTAGCACTGGGCATATTATCTGTCATGACCATCACCCTGGTGATGGTGATGACGATTCTGTGATGGCTGTACTCACCGTCACGATCATGGTGATCACGAAAAATCTTCATTGAATAACGGTGCCGAGGACGCTCATGATGGTGCTGGTGGGCAATGACGATGCTGGTCCTCAAGGAGAATCAGATGGTGAAGGTGATGATGATCATGATGACGAGGATGGTGGGAGGGATGTCGTGATGCCACGGGTAGCGACATCATGAGTGCCATGCAGTTCTCACCATCCACAACGAATAGAACGACCACCTTACTGCTTTCCTTACCCTGCTCACTGTCTTGGCGCGCCGTTTCTTTTCGCATCTAGGTGGGGGTCATACATGCGGGCTTTATGGTTTCAGTTTGGGAATGTGAGAGCCTGTGGCCATCCCCGGCATCGAGACAAAGTCTAGTGCTCGAGGCCATACCGTTCTGTCTCAAATGCGCACCCAAGATCCCACAACCCGAAACCCGCATTCAAGCTGATAGCCCCCTGTGGCGTGTCCCTATGTTCTGTCACCTGCCAACGGCTATGTAATGTTTCAAGCTGGCAGCTCATCGCTAAATTTGCAACAATGCCCTGCAAAGTTCGAGTCATATCTCCACAAGTTCTCCAATGCTCACCCAGGCCTTGACACAAAAGATCGCAGGCTCGGAATCGCGTGGGGTGGGTTCCAGCTCATGTTTCGCTGTAGCATCTGGATGATAATGGACACTTGATTAAGTTGTAACATTGCAAAGAACCAAGATGTCAGAAAACTATTACGTCTGACTGATGCTCTGCTTGTTGCTATTATCTATCGTAAGGTCGGATGCGGTATGATGGTGATTATGATGATGATGATGGTGGTGGTGTGATGATGCTCATGTCACGATGATTAGTGTTGTGCTTAAGATGCCCAGTTTTCCCTGTGCCCTTATCTTGTTCCCCTGAACCCTAGTCTGGGTGGCATTTGAATCTTGCCCTGTATCTGTTAGGACTCTGCCAGCGGAAGCTTCCGTAGGTTAGTTGTGCTCAAGGCCATATCTGTAGTATCTGCAGGACAAAGCAAGAGAAGAGGCCCCAAACAGGATTGATGTCATGGCTATTGGAATGGATCGCCGTGATAAGAGCTCTCCTGCACTTCCGATGCCGCCAACCTGAAGCGGGCTTGGCATGGCAACCACCTCGTAGCTCTACAAATAGACATCGTCTCGCCTCGCAAGTGCTTCTGGCCCTGGGAGAAAGCCGAAATCCAAGCACGGGAACAGGAACAGGGATTGGTGTTTTCTATGAAGGGTCATCCTGTGTCTTGTTGTCCACACACCGCAGATCTCAGCAACTCCCAAATCCAAATCACTCGTTGAGTTGGGGCCGTTCTGTTCCAAAATGCGAGCCCTTGCATGCGCCCAAGTTTCAACGTATGTTTTCGGCGCCTCATAGGAAACTCTCATGAAGAAATAGCCTCAAACCCCAATCGCTGGAGCAAGCCTGAAGGCCAGCGGCAGCTGCAAGTTCCCGAGGTGCGGAACTTCCGGGTGGAAGCAAGATTGTGTAGGATCGAAGATGCAGTTTTTTCAGGTTGAGTCTGGATTTCTGGGCTTTTGGGATCGAACGTCGTGTGACAATGAGGATGTAGAGCTTCATCTTTTCGGTTTTCGGGCATGAATGCCCCAAGGAGTAAGTGCAATGCTGAAGCCCTGCAGCCCAAGAGGGAGTCCGGACGTCGGTAGGCCGTGAATCCGCAAGGAGTAGCAAGACCTTCCGACCGGGGCGTCAAGGACTTAACTCGTCCTGACATCCACAACGGTGGAATCTGTGAAATTTCCGTTCTGGCCATACACTAGAATCAGTAGAAGCCAGAAAGTTGGAACATCGTTGTCCTCATGCCCTTCGGGTAAAGTAGAGGGAATCCTAGCACTAATCGTCCTGAATCCATGTTCCAACTTTCTGCGGTTCACTATACGCTGTCTCCCATGATGACAAAGCTTCAGCCTGGCAAAGGAGGTGGAGTACTTACCACCTCTTCGTGTGGCACCTCCACGACCCAGGATTGCGGAGTTGCAACTTTCAGAGAGTCGTCGCTAAGGTGCAGCTTGTTGGCTTGCGGTTTGTGGTGTGTTTCTTCAGTTCTCAGACAAGACGGTGAAGGTCAGAGGCGACTTGCAAGACTTGCGGAACAGCAGCTGGTGGTGAGCTGACCTCTGCTTTTGGTGCTAGGTCGGAGCTGGCTATGGCAGCAGATGTGCATGCATTTGGAGATACGCAAGTAGAGCTACACGTGTGATCAGGTTTCGTTGAAGCAAAACACAACACTCAGCCCCAGGATCCCGGGCGGCACAGAATTTTATGGCGCCGTGCCCAAGCACAGTGCGACTTTTGCATGGTCCGAGCTCTGTGCGACGCCGGGGGCTCAACATGTGCCGGGGTTGGGCACTGCATCTGCCTTGCGATTCAATGCTTAGGGGTTTCCAGGATAAGCTTCGGATATAAACAAAACAGCCAGTTGTCGCGAATGCAGGCTTGTGAGTGCGCGATTTTGGTGATTCAGCTGCGGACGGTGGTGGTAGAAGTGGTGGTGGTGGGCACTGCCCATTCAAACCCCACAGTGAAAACGACTTAGGCCCTAATTCATGTTTTGATGTTGCTGGAGAGTCGAATGCCTTGGGGTTGACGGCGTCTTCAGAGGCCTTGGGCGTAGGCCTTCGAGGTGACTAGAGGTGTGCATGACAGATCCTGACAGTCCTGCGTCAACCACTGCACGTGGAGGTTCCATTGTTCGCTGCAAGATCCTGCATCTCCACAACCCTGTCTTGCGAGTCCGCGAACTTTGAAGTAATCGTCCCGAGAAGTGGGAAATGGACATGGAAGAGACGAAGTCGCTGTTCCGAACAGTCGCCTTGATTAACCAGGGGAGCCTCAACAAGTAGAAATACATGCTTAGTCTTTGTAGTTGTTCCTTTGTGGTGATCACCATGCGAAACACCACGGTCCGAAAATGTTAGGCTCCAATGGCCGGTTCGCAAGTCCTGAGCATGCACAGGCCGTCGCCGGAGGATTCCCTGGCTCCCGTGCCGCAGATCCCCATGAAGACCTGGTGCGCTCCCTCGGAAGGGTCCTCAGAACCTTGATGGTTTCGTATGCTTGCGCATTGGGCAGGTACAATTCGTACGTATACGTTCCGGAAGAGGGCCAGCAGGACCGGCTTCAAAGTTTCGGCAGCGGCGGTATCAAGGAATTCTGAGAAACTTTGAAAAGTTTGCATGCTAGGTCCATATCCTCACGTCATATCCACATAATATGCAGCATAGTTGACCTATGAGAATAGAACCAGCATGATCAGCAACAGCGAAACTGCTGGTAGGATGCTGGCTAGTTGACTCCTGCGTGTGCCTGGCCAAATGAAATTTAGGAGGCTCGGCGTTGGGTGTGGAGTGCTGAATTTTGTTCTCTTTGGCTTTCGTGTTTGGCGGGCCAGGCCCGATGCTCTTTCGCAAGAGTCTTGAGAAACGGCGCAGCAGAGAGGGACAAAGGGAATCTCGAATTACTGGCACCAGCAGCTGTTACCTGCAGGATCGCCAGTATTTACAACGCTTCACTCGCGGACCAAACGGTGAGTGGATCGACGTGGTCAAGGCCTGTGCAGCGCAAACAAGTAGACACCTCCCATTAATTGCGTCTGTCCTGCAATGGGGTCCTGCACAACGGTCGATTGTGGCTTCCGTTTCAAGCATTCAGATCGAAATCTACAAAACGGACCAGCCTCACTTCTCCTGCAAGGCTCGCAGACTCGTCGATGCGATGGAGGAGCGGCGGCAACAGCAGTGCCGCAGCTGCATACAGCTTCACGATCCCTGCACACCTGGAGCAGATGCAAACCGCACTTCAGACGAAGTACGCGCGAGTCTGCAAGCAGTCCGAGGCCGGCCGTTTACAGCTCTTTGTCCTTTGTTCCATTCGCCAGACCATGCGTGAAAACAGGCACAGGGATCTCTCAGTACCCCTAGCCACACCCTCAGGACCACCCTCGGTCCTGCCCGTGGCTGAGGATGCGAGACTACATGGAAAGGGCCAGGGGCCCACCTTACGGAGCTCGGGGAACGGCTCGCCGCGGAGCAGTGCAGGGATTGGGGCTTTGATGCGTATGGCTTTATCGGAGCAGGATTTGAGGGTAGGTTTCAGCATTTCCCCACGATTTAGTTCAGCTTCTTTGGTTCGAGGTCCATTGAACTGCAGAGTCTGGGTTCATAAACACGAGCAGCGAGCTCAACAATCGGCAAGTACCAGAGTAGCACGCAATTGCTGACAGCCGAACCCTCACTTAATCAATGTGCCCATGCCACACCGACAGAGTTCGGGTTTGCTGAGAATGCGAAATCTAGAACTTAGAACCCGATCCCGAAGTTGCAGAAACCGAAGAGCCAAAGCGAAGCCTTGTTTCAAAAAAAACTAACACAATTCTATACGTGGTCCGTAAGCATGGCATGTTGCTCCATGTGCTCTTTGCCCAAGTGTGAGTCTGTATCGAAAAAATTGGTAACTGACCCAAAGCCAATCGCACCCTGAATGCTGAATTGAACCTTGCACTCCCCCCCCCCCCCCCAGCTGAGGATATGGTCCTCGCTGGGATGCGCGCAATGGGCTCCGGCGCCCTGAGCGCAGGGATGGGTGCCATGCAGATGGGGATGCTCGGCTTGCTGTTACTTGGGGCTGTTGGCAAGTCAGAAGTTTCCAGTTAATGTTTCGAGTGTTATTCATTGCGGTTTCACCAGGCGGCCGAGCTCAAGGGCTGTCAGGGATACACTGAGAATCCAGTTCGCCAGCATCGGCACAATTCCTGCGACTGCTTCCCGCCTGCGTTTCTTAGAACCTGAACAATGCAACCCTGAACTTCCCTGACCTTGTTGCCAAAGACTCTGGCCAGATCCGACGGTCCAAAACCTGTTTGCCCACTTCTTGGATCGATTTCTGCCCAGAGGGCACTTTTGTGAGAGCCATTCCTGTAGCTCAGTTGCGTCCGAACAATTCCCCACATCTCGTTGACCCTCAGATGGCTCCCCAAAAATCTTAGCCCAAAGCCTTTCGAGCTTCGAACCAGGATGAGTGGTATAGAAGCTGGTTGGGGTGCGATCGATGCGGGCTTCAGTGCCCTAGATGCTCGGCGGCCTTAGTCTTGTGCTTTAGTTGTTTCACGTCGTTTCACGCAGGTCTTGCCACCAGGGCTGTGCTGTCGGCCCTGCCGTCTTGCGAGCCCGATTACCCACACTCCGTTCAACGCCTTTAGAGGTGTGGCCCGGCATGGGACACATCGGTGTGCAGCTTGCACCATCAGTCGTTTGTTTGGGGGTGGGGGTACAGGGCTGTAGCATCTGCGGCTTGATAACCGTTTGTTGTTCCATGGTGTGTTTCAGAGGCTCTTGGAAGTCCGATTTAGCTCAATGCCAGAATATCGAATCCAACGCCTCTCAGCAAAGGATCGCAAACCGAACTTGCCGTGCTGGTTTGTGCTGCGTATCACCTGGAGTGGACTAAATACATAACATGCCCTGTACATTCATGCAATCAAACAGACTGACCAGCAACCACACAAGCAAGCAATTGCATCGAATAGCATCGCATTGAATTACGTCGCGCTGCAGTACATGTATACGTGCATGGCTACGTGCATACACGCACTGTGGGAGAGTACACTCGCCGAAGCTGTCACAGACAGTAGGAAGTACTGAGGAGGGAACACCGGGAAGCCGGTCCGTGGGGCGCACCGGCATGCAAGCGGGAGACGGAAGCGATATCGGCTGCTTGGCGGCTGCGGGGAGGGTTGAGATAAAAGATGGATGGCCCACGGGACTGCACTTGTTTAAGCTTGCGGGAGATTTGAGCAGTTTGAGGTTGAGGGACTGGGACGTCTTCAGACGTGGCTCTGGCAGAGCATTCGATCTGCAGGCAAGTCGAAATCCATCCTAAACTCCCTGAACACGTGAGTCACACGTTCTCTGAGGTCATGGAGTCCACCAGACTCTCTACACCGACGCGTGCGCCGAGTGGTTTCTGTTCCAGGCTGAAGAGCGACCGTCGCGTATGCCTTAATGCTTTCCCCACCGAAGTGTTGAAACTCCCTTCGAGACGAGGTACTCCGGCGAGCGGCTCATTGCTTGCAAGCGCCGCGGTGGCAAGAGAGCGCTCAGCTACAGGATGGCATGCCAGCGCAAGAACAAGGACACAGTTCTCGCATGTAGGTAGCAGAGCATGCCTCTCCTTGCGCTGCTCGATGATGCCGGCTTTGAGCTAACATGAAACAGCAAGGGAATCGATTGGCTGCACATGCCTGAGTCTCTTAGACACCCAATACGCCTCATCCAGAAGCCCCCGGCCATAGCTTTAAACGGCAAAGTCTCAACCTAAGCAGATTCTAGTCACTCTAGTCCACCCGAGGGGAAAGCTGCAGACTCGCGAAGAGATCTTGGATGAGCCGGGCACACAGTGGCACAGGGACAGCTGCTGCAAGTTCCCATGGAATTGTCGAGAGCCGCTCACATGGGTCCAAGCCCTGTGATCCTTCATGGCAGCTCAGACACCCCAGGTTCTGGTGAGCAGGTGAAAGGTTATGCGGTTATGCGTTCTGATGCTTGAAACTCTTGTGACCTGCGTTACTTTGGGCAGCCTTGATCGCCTGCGGGCCATGTCACGTCTTGAGTGACCGCGCGAATCTTGACTTGCTATAGCAAAAAAGGATGCTGGGTTTCGTGTCTAGGCCGGTAGGCCAGGCATGATGATGCTGGATTCAGCATTCAGAATCTTCGGTTTAGGAGTTCCGATAGGGAAGCTGATCATCAGCCTCCAGCTTCAGTCTCTGCCGGGACCCCGAAGCCGCCCTGAGGTACCATATTCGCGGGCAGGCCGGCCCCAGCTCAGGCTGTAGGATTGCACTGCGGTATATCTTATCACTTCAGGATTTGGGAAAGGTGCCAAAGTTGTGAAGTGCGAGATTTCCATGATACATGCCCGTATGCGAGAGCTGCCAGGAGGTTTCGAACAGCCTCAACCCCCAAGCCTCATCCGTTTCGATTGCAAGAGCTTATTAAGCCCTCCAAAGCTGAATTCGGAACGACCTTGGCTAACAGCTCCCTTCCCGGGGCCAGGTGAAAGGATCGGTGTAGAGTCCTGGGCGCGTTGTTAGCGTGTAGCCGAATGGCATGCCTCGAGAACTTGGTTGGAAGCACTAATCAACTATATGCTCAACTGCCATGACATTCCTCGCAAATCCGGCAAAATCTTCGGGATTGAGCTTCAAGTGGTGTGCCTTTCAGATCTGCAAGCCTGCCAAGATCTGACTTTGACGGGTTGGATCGAAAGCTTGTTGCAGGCAGTACCTCAGGATGAGCCGTTCTTTGACTTCGACAACCTTCGATTTTCCTGGCCTTTTGCAAGGCAAAGGGGCTGCGAGCGCTGTTAGCTTCCAAATCCTTAGCACATCACCACATCACTTGCAGGTCTTTAGAGCTCTGGGCCAGTGGGTTGCTGGATTCTGATCACGACGCTCCCGCAATATCAAAACCAAGGTAAGGTCGGCTGGGGAAGTGTCAGAATGCTTCAGCCTCATAGTCCCTGTAGAAATGAATCATGGCGAAATACCCCAAAGCCATGTGTTGAAACACATGAAATGTGTGAGGGGCATATGCAGCAGATAGGGCGGCAGGGAGGGATCCAGAAGTCCATCTCCTGTGCAGCCATGAGAGCTCGAGCGGGCTTGAAGGCCCCAGCTCGCGGGCTGCATGCCATGTGTGGGCGCGTCTCGTCATGAGTCTCTTCCCTACGGCGGCGGAGGCGGCTGCGCTGGCTTCTTTGGAAGATTTGCGGCAATGGTATGATGTCGACCCTGTCGCCTGGAATGCATTTCATGTGGCAGTCGGCCAGCCAGATCTGCGAGTCTTCGGCGCAATGCCTCCCGAAGCCTTAGTGGAGAATGTGATGTTGACTCGGGCGGGCACGCCTCCAGCTTCCTTGACTCCGACTCATGCCGTTCAGATTGGGTTGGTGTGGCGCCTGGCTAAGAGGATTCTGTTTACCAGGGGAGGCGGCAACTATGATGAGTGGCAGGACATCGACCCGTGGGCGGCCAAGGCAACTCCAGTGGCACCAGTGGTTGTACCGGCAGCGGCCCCTTCCTTGAAAGAGCGTGGCATAAAGATGTCGTCGGTGATCGACCAGTCGGACGACAGCGAGTTCATTCCGGAAAGTTTGGCCAAGGCGGATTCGTGGTACCAGCGGTACATTGCGATCATGGGCGGCACCCCTCAGGAGGAAGAGGACTGCACGATCGAACAGCTCTCTGCGCTGAACAAGAGAGTGCACACCCTTGACTTGCCGCCCTACGTGGACTTGGGAGTTTGGCAACCTTACGGTCGTCGAGCACTTAGAGCCAGCAAGTTCCGTGCGTGGTTCCCAGATGGCTCGGGCGGCTACATTGCGAGAGAGCTCCCGGGCCCTTCTACATGGAGTCAGTGGCTTGCGGCATGGCGGGTTTTCCAGACGGCCGCCATAATGCTCGACATCCTTCCGTTGGCCACCTTGCAGTTGTATGAAAGGCACACCGAGCGCCTCGTGAAATTGTACCCCACCGCGTGGCACCTCATCGTGCTGGCGGACGAGAAGGCTCGGGGCGAGAAGTGGGCGAGGCTTCGGCTTAAGCTCAGCGCGGACATATCGTCCGGAAAGCCGGCACCTGACCTTTGGGATCCAAGAAGGCCTTGGATCGCAGCCTTGCACGCCTTGGTCAATGATACAGCATTCTGGGAAGATCAGGTGCGGTCGCCGGCCAACGCATGGGTGGCTTCGGGCGGGCGCGGTGCGCCCAAAGCTCCGGAGGAGACCTTTCTGGCCACGCAGACGGCAGGCGGGTTGGAGCTGACGGACACCGGCGGCTCCCCGAAGAAGACCACCAAGGAGAAGCGATTGGCAAAGAAAAGGCGAGTGCAAGCAGACAAGGAGGAGCTCAAGAGGTTCAGGGCCGCTTCGTCGGGACATGGCAAGGGCAAGCAGGACGGCAAGGGCGACGGCAACAAGGGCGCATTGAAGGCCAAGGACCAAGCCGGAGATGATCTTTGCTTTGGTTGGGACGCCGGCCGAGGCCCTTGTGCGGATTGCTCGCCCGGGGAGCCGTGCCGGGGAAAGGTGAAGAGGATCCACAAGTGCCGGATCTGTTTGAGCCCAGGCCACCGTAGTGCTGACTGCCCGCAGAACGCATAGGACCGGAGAGTGAAACTGTGGAACATGTTGCGTGACTTGTCTCCCGCTCTCTCTCTTTCTCTCTCCTCTTCGTGCTGCTTCAGTGCTTTGTACGCATCAGAGTGCAGCGCGTCGGCATGATCCCGATTGTGTCGGTAGCCTTTTGGCACGACGACGGGGAGGAGCCATCGGGGCGGAGGGCACTTGCGGTGTCGGGAGCCCGGCATGGGCAGGACGACGGCCATGGCCTTCTGCTTCCTCCACTTGTTCAGTGGGGTTAAAGACAAGCTTGGCGACGCCATTGTCGCCGAGGCGGCGAAAGCTGGAATCCAAGCTAAGGTCGAGGCTTACGACTTGAGCTTAGGCCACGACTTGACAGATAACGTTCTTGTCCGGCAGATCCTCCAGAACGCCAAGGACGGCAAGTACCATGGAGGTCACTCGGGCTTCCCGTGCACAACCTTTAGCCGACTACGCTGGCGGCAAGCTCAGGGCATGCCAGGGCCAGTGAGATCGCGGCAGCATATCTATGGATTGCCCACCAACACTAGGGCTCAGCAGGATGAGGCGGACCGGGGAACCTTGTTCGCGTGCAGATCCCTGCAAATCCTGGATGCAGTTTCGGAGAGTGCTGGAAATGGGCCGCCGCGACCGGTGACCATTGAGAATCCTCCAGAAACCGGGCATCCAGAGGCTGGGTCGGCTTACTGCTTGCCTGAGGTGATCGGTTGGCTTAAGCAGGACGGCATTGAGTATGCCGACTTTAACAACTGCGCCTATGCGGACTCAGCTGCTGGTGAGCGACTTTACAAGAAGCCGCAAAGGTTTGTGGGGCGACTTGCTGGTTTGGGTGCACTGTCCGCAACACGCCGCTGCAAGAAGGGCACACATCACCCAAAGGTGCAAGGCAGCCATGCTTCAAAGGATTCGGCAGCCTACCCTGCAGCACTATGCCAGGCTTACGCCAAATTGGTGGTGGCCCAGTGGTTGCAGGGGCTTCCTGCAGGAAAACGGAAGGCTACCACCGTGATCATCCAAGAAGCCGAGTGGGAGGGCGGCGCCGGCAAGTTCGGCAGCCTTCGCACGCAGGACACCAAGAAGGCCCGGAGGGACCAGGAGAACAAGGAGTCGATCGGCGGGTTGAGGAGACCAGTCTGGTCTTTGGAACGGGTCCCGGGCCTCCGGGCTGTTGGCGCGGAGGTGGACGCCCTCTTCGACAAGTTCACGGATGAGATCCCGGAGGCAGCCACGGCGGGCGAAGGATACGGCACTGAGGGCTTTGAGGTGAAGTATGTTGACGAATGGAGGCAGGCTTTAGAAAATCACTTCGGTGTGGATTCACAACCTGCCAGACTACAACTGCGGAGCCTTTTGCACTACGAGACCCCGGTCAACACGCCATTGTTGGAGGCTTGGACGTGCAAGGCTAAGGATCCTGATCAGGTGGTCGTAAGTTGGCTTCGTGACGGGGCGCCACTGGGTGCCAACCAAAGCATTCCCTCAGTAGGAGTGTTCCCGCCGAAGGAAGAAGATCCCCAGGCCTGGGAGGAGATTAAGGCCGAGACCCAGGCGTGGGAAGCATCCCGCAACTATAGCTCTTTCACGGATAACGTCGTGGACTCGGTGGAAGAGATGGAAAGGCTTGAGAAGTTGGGCTATGTGAAGAAACTCACAAAGGAGCAGGCCGAAAAGTACTTCACTGAGCCGGTCGTCTCCAAGCTCGGACTGATCATCAAGCCCAAAGCTGACGGCGCCCGCAAGCGGCGAATCATTGTCGATGCTGCAAGATCGGGCGCCAACAAGAAAGCCCGGTGCCCTGAACGTATCGTTTTGCCGCGCTCCCTTGACGTCTTCACCATGGCGGCGGATCTCAAAAGTCTGGAACCGCAGCTTCTTGAGTGGTACCGGGCTACCAAACGCCCCACGACTGAGTGGGGCTCTGAGCTTGTGGCGGCGGACCTCACCGATGCCTTCACACACTACCCGGTCCACCCGACCGAGCATGAGCAGTGCGTCTCGCCGGCGGGCGACGGGGTTCATTACTACGTCTTCGTTGCGATGTTCTTCGGGCACAAGTGCGCGCCGCTGGTCATGTGCCGCTTGACAGCCTTGCTCTCTAGGCTCCTGCAGGGCATGTTTTGGCAGGCAGAGCTTCAGTTGGCCACCTACATCGACGACCCACTCACGGCGCTGGTTGGCTCCCGGACAAGGCGCAACCGCAACCTAAGTTTGGTGCTGCTCACGTTGGGGGCCTTGGGGATCCGACTGGCCTGGCACAAAGGAGCGAGAGGGTCCCAGCTAACGTGGATCGGTGTCCAGTTCACTCTGCGGTGGCGCGAAGGTGTTCTGGATAACGAGGTCCCCGAAAAGTTGCGCGAGGAATTGCTCGAGAAGCTGGACAAGTGGGCGAGCGCAGGCATGGTTCCACTGGCTCAACTACGCTCCTTTGCTGGCAAGCTCACCTGGGCCGCGGGCATCTACAAGCGTTCACGGTGGGCTGTGTCGGTCATCTATGGGGCCATCACAGCTCACGAGACTGAGGTGAAGGCGGGAACAGAGGAAACAAGGCGACACCTTCGCAAAGACAACCGGTCCAAGGACTTCCTGGTTCCGGTCAAGCGCTTCGAGACGGCAAGAAAGTGGTTGGCAGCACTTTTTCGCGGCCGCCGACTTAAAACCTCCATGACCTTGTGGAGGAAGCCGGAGGCCATCATGATCGTCACCGACGCCTCACCCCAAGGTTGCGGCGGCCTTCTGCTAGTGAGATCGTCGGCACAAGCTCCTTGGACAATCCTCAAAGCGTACGAGTACACCGTGGAGAAGTCCGATGCAGAGCTGCTTGGGTTCCACTACAAGTCACACAAGAGCCAGGGCTACCTCGAAGCCTTGGCGGTGTTCCTCGCCCTTCGTGAATGGGGGAAGCTGTTGACCTCCGTGAAGGTGGGCTTGGCCATTCGGTCAGACTCCACGGTGGCACTCTCCTTGCTCGAGAAGGCAGCGTCGTCTACGCCGGCGCTCAACTTGCTGGCTGCAGAAATGGCGCTGTGCTTGGAAAGGCTGCAAATAGGGGACATCCTCCTGTCGCATGTGCCGGGCAAACTCAACGTTTTGGCAGACTGGCTCTCAAGGCCAGAGACTCGCGGCGACACCCCGGGCCAGCTCAAAGACATTAAGACGGCCAAGCCACACAAGCTCTGCTCGAGCGATTTTTCCTTAGGCTTGGCTCAGTCGCACGATGCCTCTCAGGCGGGAGCTTCTTGGGCTGCCCTGACGGGGTGACACCGCACCATGGTCGAACATGTTTTCAAAAGGAGTTTGTGCCTCACTGCATGTTTTGCTAAGGTGTAGTTTTGTTTTTCAGGCTGCTGCCCACCCGTGCAAACTCAGTGTCTGTACGCCGGCAGTCATGGAGCTCACGTTGCGCCCCGAGGGCGAAGGCCCGCTCGTGCCGATCGAGCCCTTTGATCCATGGCCCCTGGTGGTCGCCTGCGTAGTGTGGACCCTTTGCACTTTCCCTCCCGCAGCACTTTGGACCGCACCGCGACTGGTCATGTGGGGGCTTCGCTGGGCAGTGCGGTTAAGCCGTCTTCTTCAGCTTCTAGTCGCCTGCTGCAGTTTTCGTCGGCAAGCTCCCCTACAGAGCAGCAGGCCAAGAGGAGCTCCGCAAGAAGGTCAAGAACTCCAGCAAGAGTGCCGAAGGAGAAGCCAAAGCCCACAAGCAACTCGAGACGAGCGAGATCGAGGACTCCAGCGCGCTCCTTTGCATTCGCCTCCACGAGGGCCGGGACGACGACAGAGATCCCAAAGGGTCCGGGCCCCCTCCGAGACCTCCTGCTCCGAGGAGGGCCGTGCATGGCGACGGGGACACCGCAGAAGTTCACCTACGGCAACCCCGACAAGACGCGATCGACGACTGGACTCGGACCATCGCTCGGTCCCCGAATGGGCTACATGTCAGGATCGGCATCTCTCACGAGAAGTGGCAACGCAGACGCCGGAGCCGAGACCGCCGTCACCGGATCCGGGGTATGGGCTCACTTTGGGCCATCAATCCAACCCCCTCTCGCGACTCATGGGACGAACGGCGGCCACCGGCAACAACCAGCTTTCGAGGACCTGGCCCTACGGCGCCTGAAGGAGGACACCAAGAACAAGCAGTTACTGGGCCGCTCCCCCGCGCTCTTTGGTGGGGCTCCCGTCTTTGGGGGGCCGATAAAGGCGACGCGACGACAGGCGGAGAACCAGCCCGTTGAGGACCACCTCCCGCAGAAGCTCAACCACGGGGCAAAGTTCAAGAAGGCTTTGGACATTGCCCGCAACGAGCTGGACCTCGAGCGAGCCGTGGACGACCTCAAGGGCAAGTTCTACGCAGACTCCAACAAGGCGCCTCAAGCACGCAAAGAAGCCGACGTTTTGGAGCTGGCGGCCACCTTGTGCAAAGGGCGCCCTGCCTTTCCCGCCACCCCGACTTTGGTGGTGAAGTTCGCGGCGGCGCTCCGAGCGGCGGGCTACAAATCAGGCGCGCAGTACTTGAGCGCGCTCAGAGTGGCGCATTCGGAAATGGACTTTCCGATCACCCCGGCGCTGAAACGGTCCTTCGATCTGGCAAAGCGCGCATTGGGACGGGACGTGGAGCCGGCGGACAGAGCCCCCGAGTTCCAGATCGCGGACTTCCCGGAGGACGCGGACGCCTTCAACTTGCAGCCCGGCGAGGTCGCCTTCCCAAAGCACACCTACGCGCTGGCGTTAACCTTCATGCTCAGAAGGTGCGAGTTGGAGCGACTAAAATGGGAAGACATCGTCCTGGACCAGCTCGAGACCATGGTCACGCTGCACATCAGGAAGTCGAAGACGGACCAAGGTGGCAAAGGGGTTAAGAGGACTCTGGGGTGCACGTGCCGCACCTCGCCAGCTACCTGTCCGGTGGAGCTCGTTAAAAGCTTCGCCCGCGACTTCGACAGAGCACTGCCCGGGCTTCGGAAAGGGGCGACCTGGATCACGTGCTCGCCGGAGGGCACCCGAATCACCGACAACAAGCTTGTGAACTCCTGGACGCGAGCGGCGGGTCGTACTGTTCGTGGCCACAGTGCACGCCGGTCGGGCACCATGTTCTACGTGAGAGCGGGCCTTGGCATTGCGGAGGTAACGTACCTGGGGCGATGGCATTCAGATTTGGTCTTCCAGTACGGCGAAGAAGCTTGGGAAGACCGCCCTATAAATCACCGTGACCCTGCTCTTCTAGGCCCTGGTCGCGAAGGAGGCTGGGGCGTCGGCGACTTCGGATTCGTCTCCACAAAGAAGGCAAACCCACCGTCGGGACTACCGAAAGCAGCTCCAACGCAAGGGGAGCCTTCTCTCGCTGCGAAGAGCCAGTTCGCTGAAGACCTCCAGGCTTCTACGCCGAAGTGGGTGAGAACCTCGGGACGCTCGAAAGTGGTCCACCTGTTGGGGAGACACCTGAGCTCTTCTTCTTCTACCTGGACGACCAGGTGCGGTTGGCCGTTCGCGAGGACACACCACTTCACCCTGCTCACGAGCCCTCCTGCCGGAGTGCCAAGGTGTCGAAACTGCCGTCTGAACATCGAGAGGACCCGCGGCAAGCCATTGGGAGTGGAGACTGCGGAAAATCTTATGACGACGGAGCGGTTCGACTCCAAGGCAAACGCACCGGCAAAAGAAGAGGCCATCGTCTTTTGAGCAAGGGCGGAGGGCGGGAGTTGCATTTGCAGCAAGTGCCTTGAAACACATGAAATGTGTGAGGGGCATATGCAGCAGATAGGGCGGCAGGGAGGGATCCAGAAGTCCATCTCCTGTGCAGCCATGAGAGCTCGAGCGGGCTTGAAGGCCCCAGCTCGCGGGCTGCACTTCACGATTTCTCCCAGCCCACCCACCCGGGAGTGGAGACTGCGGAAAATCTTATGACGACGGAGCGGTTCGACTCCAAGGCAAACGCACCGGCAAAAGAAGAGGCCATCGTCTTTTGAGCAAGGGCGGAGGGCGGGAGTTGCATTTGCAGCAAGTGCCCTAATAATACTACGTTTTGAAGGATGGTGGCTATAACGTGGGAGTAGGTACTAGGGTTGTTGCATTTTTTAGGCTTAGGCTGATATCTGTTTGGACTTGAGAGTTAAATCGCTCGAGAGTGGTGCTGCTGTTTTGGCAAGTTTCGATGCGGCAGCATGAACTAGGAAGTTGGCATGGGAGTTTCGGGTGGAGCGTATACGCACAGCCAGCTGTACTTGCACCCTCTAGTTCAGTTTGCACTGCCGTGCTGCAGGCCAGAAAAAAACAAGCCGGTATCCCAACACACGCATGGGACTTGGAGACAGCCACGTTTGCTGGCAGTTATTTGCTTGTCAGATCTGGTGCGCAGAGGATCGCACCCCATGCATCGCCTTGCAATGCTTGAAGCAGTGGAAAGGAGGCTTCACTGCGAACGTCGACACCGAAGTTTTTCACTGGCTAAGTGCGAGAGAATGATCCTCGCTGATTCTTTTTTTGCGTTGCGGCGAATGTTCTATCGCTGACTCTCTCTGCCGTTGATAGTTCATTATGTTACTACGCCGGTGCCTTGTGTGCTTCTCATGTTCTTTTATCGCTACTGGGCCGTGCATTGCCAGCCCTCAGGTCTAGTTGTGCATGCTCAGGTATGACTGGTTCGACCGCCGCAACATGTACATCCCGGGAGACTCCAGGTGGCATTGCCCTTGTTTCTTCTCCGCGCGTGGTATCCCTGACCCCAGCACCCTGCTTCGTGGCCCAAAATACCAACTCCCAACGGAACCCACGATTATCGCAATCCCATGCGCTTAACGAACCCTTATGCTGAGCACTTTTCTATGCTGTAACAGAAGATTTACTTGTGCGCTCGTGCCAGTTGCGAGATCGTGGAAATGCCGAGCGTGTACATAGACAGCGAGGAGTTGTACAGGCTGGGTCGACGCGCCTTTGAGGCGTTAAGGGTGCTTTTGTGCTCCTGAACACTTAGTAGTATCAGTTGCACAATCTCCTGCTAGTAGGATAGCAGAGTCGCATAATCATGAGTTGAAAGGATCTCTGACCCTCTCACCAGGACTTTAAGAACAGCCCAGTTTGGAGGTTTATTCGGAGGCTGGTCCGTGCCAGCTGCCCTGAGCTCTTGCTCTATGTGATATTATGTTCCTCCAGCGCCCGAAATCACAAAAACTAGTTGATCAGGTTTTCCGCAACGGACCTTTGGGGGATTCAGAGCTTGGCAGAATTCCCTGCAGTGATGCCAGTTGGTATGAGCATTGCAGGGTTTTGCTTCCCGGGACAGGAGGCGGGACGATGCGCCTAATCACGCGGCACTAGATTGTTTGCAGCCCTTATCGGCCTCCATGAAGAAGAAGCCAAAATGCCAAGCCCGAAAGTTGCCCCAAGCATCCAATCCTGAGCTCACGAATATAAACGTTCGCTTAACTCCTCCCCAACCCGCAAAACACGGAGCAGGTGGTGGCATGCTGAGCCTCAGCGTCGGGCCACGCCGGCCCCCATGCCACAGCCCAGCCGGAAAGCTCAGACAAGATAGAGCGCACAGGAGGTCCCGTTGGCTTTGGGCTTTAGTTCAGGTGGTTTTGGGGCTTAGTGGTTTGGGTTACCTTGGGTTTTCAGGAGCGGCTCAATGGGATGTTGTGGTCCCACGGCTTGGTATTCAAGCCAGTCGAGGCTTGCGCTTTCGTTGAACACTTACATGCTACGGTTAATGAGGCATACTACCTGAACTGCACTTCCGACCGTAAAATTGGAACACTGTCAACCCAAAATGCCCTACAGCACTTGGCAAAAACTGTCAGTTAAACACATTGGGCTGGAACATCGCTTAAAGCCACGCTGCAAAGCCACAGCTAGAAAATGTGAGCAACTGCCCTGAACGCTGTGTTCCTTACTCGCATACCCAGCTCCGGCACCTTTGAGTATGAATAGCCACCAAGAAGCCGAGAAGCAGCAGATGTAACACAGCCCAAAGAGACATCGCCCAAAAAGCAGGATGGGATTGTTTCTCTACCGCAGTCATCAAAGCTCTGGCTGGTGTGCACAGGCCTGAAATTTACTGCTAAGTACAAAGTCGCCAAGTAAAAACCTTCCAAAGCCCTGACCAACAAAGGTGTGCAGCAAGTGATGCTTTGAGACGTTCTTGACGATTCACACATCTAATGTCCGTGCTGTGCCTGTCACAATCATTTGGGCGATTTTTCATGTGGAGGTGTTTCGGCTTAGTCAAAAAAGGTTCGAGTTCCACCGAGTTTCTTGCTTCACGATTTTAAGCAGATCAATGCGCCTCTGCCTCTGCCTGAGTCAGAGGGCAGGATGTGTCACCTCGGTTCACATGAGCGTCGCTGCGAAGCTTTGCAAAGGAGTTCAAAAAAGTTACAACGTTACAACTTCAAACAAATCATACAGATCTGCGTACGAATACACTTACTACTCGCAGCGCCACTGGCGACCCTTGTTCTGACGCGAATTGACATACTTTCCATACGTTGTTCTAGTGGCAGCAGTCGTCGTTCACCCTCACTGTACCACTACTCAATTACTATACTCCTACGACTACGACTACTCCTCCTACGTACTACGTACCTCCTATTCTACCTGTACCTCTACCTCGTCCCTCCTCCCTCCTCCTCTCCTCGTCCTCCTCCTTGTTTCTACGATACCATTACCACCCATCCACCCCACCACCTCCCTCACAACCGCCACTGCCACCGCCACCGCCGCCGCCACCACCCCCACCTTCACAACCAGCTACTACTACTACTACTACTACTACTACTACTACTGCTACTACTACTATTACTACTACTACTACTACTACTACTACTACTACTACTACTACTACTACTGCTACTACTACTACTACTACGTCTACTACCACTCCTAAAACCACAAGAACTACTACAAGAACTACACAACAACTACTACTGCTCCTCCTACTGCTGCTGCTGCTGCTACTACTACTACTACTACTGCTCCTGCTGCTGCTCCTGCTATTGCCACTGCCAGTGAACACCCGATTTGTCGAAACTAACGCCGAATTCGTTTAGCAGGCCTTGGAAAATGCATTCGGGCTTGGTCGGAGCTCTGGGAACTCAGCTTGATGATTTTATGGATGGCTGCATTTTCGGGTGTAGGGACGGCACATGAACCCCAAATTTGCTGACTGGAGCCGAAACTGCATTTGGGCTTGAGCAACGGTCCTCCCGCGACCCCGGAACCTGCGCCCCACAAAGCGCTCCGACCTGTCCTAGCAACCACAACCCGCCCCCTTCCCCGCAACCTGCCCCGGAACACGCCCACCCCCAATCTGCCCCAAACCTTGCATTTCGGCTGAAGACACCACAGCTCTCGCTGTTGCGGAAAAGAATAACAAACCACCGCTTCCTTCACCACTACTGTACCTCCATCGCTTCTGGAGCTCCAAAAACGCAAGCATCTTCTCATCGCCGGGAACCCGATCGACCTTGCCTCTGCGAGCTTGTAGCCGTGATTTGCAAGCTTCATGGCTTCGAAGCCAGCGCAGCCATCCAGAGCAGTGTTGTGCATGTTTCTTCGTCCCTGCTTCTTGAGCTTCTCAAGAACGCTCAGACGCACAAGCAACGGTGCCACAGTCCGATGAAAGGATCAAGAACGTACAGCACACTAATCCCCAACCTTCGAAGCTCTCCGACAGGCCTTCGGCCCTTACCCGATCTCGCAACCACACCAAACCTCTACAACTCCTGACCCTCCTTCTTTTAGTGCCTCGCCCACCCTGAGCAGCTGGGCACGTCTTGACATCAATTTACATTATGGCTTCCTGAACCCCACCAGAGGGATTTGGCCGGGGTCCGGGGTTATGAGTGGAACGGCTGCTGCCGACTTGATCGTGACTTGTGAGTGGGAGGATGAGGACCACCTGCCTGCAAGGGCTGGGGGCAGGTTGGGCTACTGTGCATGCAACTAGCCAGGACTTTTGGTCACCTGTTGTGAGCCGAGATGTGGGGAAACTTGTTTCTGACTCGAGAATGCGTCCTTGCCTGGAAAGAGTTTTCCACAAGCTTCGAGTTGTTAAAAGTCCTCCGTTTACCTGGCCTGCCCCGGACAAAATCTGTTTGCTTGAGTTCTACCTGAAACTTCACCCCCAAAATCTGGAAACCCTTCGAAAATAAGCAACTCACAGCTCAAGACTCAAAATCCCGCGGAAGGAGCTCCAGTCTTCACTGCGGGAGTGGACTGTCGCCTGGCCGGCACAGGAGCCTGTGTATATACATGGGCATATAACCTCATGTGTATGTATGTATGCATGCATAGAATGTGTATAGATGTCATATGTCTATATGTATCAGTCTCTCTCTCTCTCTCTCTCTCTCTCTCTCTCTCTCTCTCTTTACGCACATAAAGGCACTGTTGTTGTATAGTTGCTAGTGCTTTGCAGTAAACCACAGCGCTGTGTACTAATATGCTCTGTCATACATCACGGTTGAGGCTGTTCATGTTTGAGAGACGCAGGCGAATGTTGAACTGCAAGGTGTAGGGCTTGCACCAGGCCACCAGTCTTCTTGACCCCTTGACTGGCAACTTTTCTACTACCTGACGATCTTGACACCAAATCCAGGGTTGCCACATCTCAATTCGTGTTGATCCGAACTCCACAACCTAGACCCTTCCGGATGCTGAATCAAGCTCGCTACAATGATTCAATTGGGCGCTATGTTCTAAAGCGATGAACCCTTGTTGCCCCGACCGGTATGTTCAACAGCTCAAGCTGGTTCTATTCCATCGCTGAGATCTTGCACCAGCAGGTGAAGCCTCTCCTCACTTCCTGCATGGACTTTGCGCGGTAAATCCACAGTCAGGACCTCGGGTCGCTCCTGGACCGCCCCTTCTGCGTGCAGCGGAGGCCGTGGAGCGACGAAGTTCTGTGTTAGCATCATCGCCGCCTCGTAAGATCGCGGAAGTCTACAGCAGTAGAGCTCTTCGATGCTTTGGGGAAGTCCAACAACTGACTTGAAGCTTTGATGCTGAAGGGGTCACTGAAGCGGTCTTCACCTCCAGATTTCGAGACGCTCAGAAGAACTACACAGCCTACAAGTCGGCCGAACAAGAAGTCGACCTGATACTCTGATACCCTTCGGGAGCTTTGAGTTGCAGCTTGAGCCCCGGGGCGAAGATAGGTTTCGAGATGAATGTACTGAGAGGCTTGGGATCGACATGTTTAGGAACCTCCAATTCAGTTCCTCAAGGCCTTCTCCCTGAATAGCTGTGTTGTTGAGATTTTACAGACCAGTGCAGAAGATCCTTGCCGCTGTTCGTTGTTGGCATGCTAGAGCGGGCAGTTGTGCTGGCCGAAGGAACTTCATGTCGTTTTTCAGGCTTGGTATATGCAACGGTGCTCGAACGGTGCTCGGTGTTGATGTGCATCGTTGAAGCCAGTTTCCTGCTGGCGTCTCCAAGCTTTTAAAGCTTCATGTGATGACAAAGCGTCAGCCTTCTGGATGTGGGGTTGTCACACACGCACACAGACAGAGACGATTCTGATCTCCCTCAGCTCGGAAGCCGAAGCCAACCCTACACCGGAAATCCTCAGAGCCCAACTTCACACATCCAGTCAGCCTCACAAAACGTCTTGGCCCGGCCCCCCTTGATGAGGCTTCTCGGCCGACTTCGCGCAGCCGCCAGACTGGAAGGCCTCGTCGGTTTGAAGTCTCGGTTAGGTGGGAGCTGAGACCTTAAACTGGGTACAAGTTCTTGGCTGCACGTTCAAACCTCAACCGATGTCGGAGATGCAACCTGAAAGGGATTGGCGGCTGATCTTGATTTCTCTCAAGCGCTGCAACTTTCGCACGTGTATTTCTGTCGGAGAATGGCCAATTGACACTTGTCCGCTTCGTAGGTGTTGTCACCTATAGCAGCATAGCACCTGAAAAACTACGTGGAAGCATCCTGCCTCAAACTTGTTCGAGTCGTATTTTGGGACAGCCCGCTTCCGGAGGAAGAGCCGTTGCCTTTGCAGAGGCCTTCGTTATCCCTGGATGTTCTGATTCAGCGGCAGCACAGGTTTCTGATTGTGGGTTAAAGCTAAAGCCTTTCGATGCAGCAAAACGCTCATCTTTGTAACACTTCGAGCACATGGTTTGATGCTACACCTCGCGATGTGACGGCAGTCAATAGTAGGGAACTGGATCAGAACTGTGGGTGCTTCGCGCGGCTCAGAGATCTTGGATCTGGGGTCCCTTCAGCTGGGACTTCACATGAGCAAATCTGAGACTGTTCCGAAGAGGTGGCAGCAAACGGCGGGCAGTGAACATTTCAGGATTCCTTATTCCAGGGTACCAGGTGTACTGCAAGTTTACTGACTTTGAGGGGACCACAAACTGGAATGCTATCGGCGCTATCGTTTAACATCTAACAGGTATCAGTTGCAACTCACAGCAGTACACATTCCAACAAATTAAACACTAGCGGAACTAACGCCTAGTCTGCACAGAGCTCAACACGAATGACACTGAGCATGCGCTTCCCGATAGATGCATGTTGATTTTTCTGGCATCATTCTGTACTCGAAGCCAACGTTCGAGAATTACACATGTGAAGCCAGACAGTCTACATGAACTCTGCGCCAGCAAGCCCCATCAACCCAAGCCCAGAACTTTACCCGAAGCAGCAGGTTGCCGTGATGCGAAGCTTGGAGGCTTTGCAGATTGAGGGATTTCGAAACTCAGGCTTCGAAACTGAAGAAACAAGCTTGTGGGTTTCACTCCGAGGCCATTGTGTTGGACATGTTAGAACGTTGTTCAAGCTCCATATAACTTAGAACTTGTTTTAAAAGGCTCGCCTTTTTGCTGTTTTGGTGACCCCGATCGAGCAGTAGACCTTGAAATCTTGAAACGCTCGTCGCGCGCGCGCGCGCCTGTCCGCAAATTCAGAATCTCTGTCGCATAGTGAAGTTCCCGATAGTTCCCGAGGGTTGTAATATTTCGTTGAATGTGTGAAGACACCGACCTGAGATGGAGTGGCAACAAATAAACCGAGAGCTTTGCAAAGTGTTGAGGTGGCCACGAATCAGTGCATCAACGAGCAACATCCTTGCATGCGCCTTCCGCTCGGTACAGCATTTCTGAAGTCTTCATTTACTCCAGAAGCCTTCGCCTGCGATCCGCGGAAACTACGAACACTCCGCGGCCTTCCGGGCAGGGCGCTGCAGCCCCAGCTCCGGCAGAGTCATCCGCGCCGCCGGAAGCTCCGCTCCATGAACGTCGCAGCTGCCGCATCTGCCTGGAGCTAGGCAGATGTGTTTTTCAAGACTTGCTGCGCGGATTGAGAGGTCGGCTAGTGCTTGTGCTTCATGGGATCCAGGCAGGATGCAAGGTGGTCCGTATACCTTCTTGCTCGAGATTCAGGTAGCCGAAGAGTGCTGGTTGACGCATGGCGGAGTAGCCCTGGCTTGAGGAGTTGTTGGTGTCATGTGTCTCTGCGAAGTCGATTGACGCAGCATGCTCGGTGGGTGCCGTGATCACCTCATTGCTCGGGTTTGCCTCAGATCAATTGACGATCAACGATGTTCACGGTCAAGTCAAGCTTTATGGTATAGTCAGTAGGCTTCAAGATTTCGATCCGGATGCCATCCGAGTATTACCGCTTGGTTCTGGGGAGGTTCTTTGGCCTTCAATGGTTCATGCTAAACCCTCATTCTGAAGTTGACAAAATTGAACCCCAGAAGCCCTGAAGTTGAAAACGCCAAGGCCTTCTAGCCTTGTATCCGGACCCGAGGCAAAGCCCTAGAGCGCTCGCAGGCGAGAAGGGCACCGAGCTTCTCGACAGCTGCTGTGCTTGCCGAGGTGCAGCTCCCAGTCAAGCCCAAAAAACCCTGGGTTCTTGTCGAAGGGTTACTTCAAGTTACCATACTAGGGATCTAAAATAGATAGGGCATATGGTCTCTTCATTATGGTAACTTAACTTAAATTCCTTAACAGGAACTTAGAAACAGTCCACACAACCTTGGTTTCTAGATTCAAGGCTTGGGAGATGCCGGCCTGAGCAGGGGGTTCGGGCCGGCTTGGGTTTCAGGGCTTCGGATTTAGGTTTAGAGGCCCTGAGCTTTAATCAGGATCCCTCAGATGCAAAGGGCCCTAGGAAGGGAAAGAAAGACCACATCCGTCTGTAAGGCTTGTAGATGCGAGTCTACGAGTGCTTCAGGAGCATAGTTTCATGGTTGTGCTGTTGTTGCACATCTTGTCAAGTAGCTGGACTCCGAATCCTAGACCCGGCACCAGATTGCCACAAAGTTCGCTTGAAGGCGCTTCTTTCCGGCAATTGGCGATCACTAACCGTTACTAACCCGTCAAGCCTGCCTGCAACCTTCAAGATGGTAGATATCCCGAGTTCGTAACACCGAGGCTCGTGCTTCGGAGTCGAAGCCTTCAATCCCAGGGTCTCCTATACCTCGGCGCTCAAGACCAAACCGACTGCCTCCCTGCGCGGCCGCGCCCTCTCACTAGAGTGTGATGAGGGCGATGGCTTATAAACATCATGTTAAAACCATGCAAAATTCAACTCAACCTCGCACTCATACTCATTCTCATTCTCACCCCTCATGCGAGGATCCGTGCGATTCATTTGCACCGAGTGCCTCCTCTTGCAATGGGAAGCACGGCCGGACAAGGCGGGTTGCAGCTGAAGCGGAGTTTCCAGATCTCGGGATGGCTAAGGGGAAACCCATGGAACTGCAGGAGTTTGGGTGGGTTCATCGTGCGACTGGGTGTCACCCCGAAAGTTAACAGCCCCTGCAAGCCATGAAGCGGAGATATCGAAATGCCTCCTAGAAACTGGCTTGGCCTTGAGACCGCTGAACCCCAGGCACTCGAAAACACAACCATCAGAGCTTCAACAGCGAACTGCAGGGCCTTCAGTGCGGAGTGTGCCGACAGGCCGATTCACAGGATTGGTTTGCCTTTCAGAGCTGGGAGTCCATTCAAAGTGGTTGCCACACCTGTTCGGCAAAGCTCAGGGGATCCTTGAAGAGAGAAATCGCATGTAGTCGCAATCTCCGTGTGCGCAAACCCAAACTTTTGATTGGCCGCGATGTCAACAGTGGTGGGTCGAAGGGTTTAATACTTTTACAAGCACGACGGTGCGACTGTCGGGTTGACAAAAACACAATCGGGCTAACAACTCCTCAGGTTTGTGTCCGCGGGTGCTTTCCAAAAGGTTCACCTGTGTCGTCTATGGGGTTTTGAAAGCGGATCGTGTGCCGCGCCTGGCACAGATTTTTCAAACGTGAGCATCTTCGTCCAATGGGTCAGAGATTGCTCCCTAGACCCTAACCGCATCAGAGTTGAGGTTTAAAACACAAACTGGGTCGTATGTGGAAGAACAACATTAGTTTCACCTCCCACTAAAGCGTATTTCTGATCAGTGTGTGGGGCCGCAACAAAGTAAAGTGTGGCCTTATTGGCTCGGCAATTAGTTTTTGGAGATACCAAGTAGTGAAAAGTTTGTTCCTGCGTGGATTGTTTGCAAGCAGGGCTCTGAGCGATTATCTTAGCAGCCGCTGGCACTAGCACTATTTCACTATCTGAGTTCGGTTAGGTCCATAAATTCCGCAAATCTTGCCATTGTATGTGTCATTAGTAACTACGAGTATTTGTATGTAGCAACTAGCTCAAGTATAATACTTGCTAAATACAAGTAAGGCCGGAGAAACTGCACACAGGTGCTATTCCTGTTTTACCATTACCAGCACCATTAATTACCGCAATTATCAGTTAACAATATTAGTAGTATTGTTACCCTTATTTTTGCTGTGACTACTAGCACTATTCCCCACACTTTTTCGGAGCTTGCCACCAGGCGCAACCTCATTGAGTCACGTGTTTTTGGGGAGGCCCACCAATTACTCGTCGGCCGGCGCTCAGGCCTTCAGTGGACGAGCCGCGGCACTGCTAACAGAAAGGCAGCATAGGGCGTGGGGTCTGAGCACCGATTTAAGTGGCATGCAGTTTCGGCTTTCTGCGTCAAGAGTTCAGTGCCCCTCGGGCACCGGCCATTGAAAGTTGTGGAACTCAGGCTTTGTCAGGGTTTTGGCCTTGGCTTAGTGGCTTTGTGAGTCTGAAGGACCCGTGGAGCTTGTATGATGGTGAGAGGTCCAAGGGCTGACGCGCTGAGGGATTGAAGGATTTGCTCTGCATGCTAAGATGGCAGCCTTGGTGTATCGGAAGTCAATGCGGCTCAGCCGACCCCCAATTCAATGCCGGGCCCCGCCTCAGATACTGCTTTTGCGAATCCCCGCACTCTACTACCCCAAACCGCGATCCTTCAACCTCGCAGACTCTGCCTGGAAGGCTGCAGAAGCACGTCGAACAGCAGCAGGACATGCAGCATATCGGCAGACGGTCCAATGGCGGTACTTTGCACATTTCAACCTTGATGGCTGCTTTTTCAGGCTTACTTAAGAGCAGGCCAAAATGAAGCATCTCAGTCTGCAGTACGCACGAGTTGCTCCCACCTGCCTTTGACATCAAACACGTCTAATTGCAAACATCAAATGCATTTTGCCCCTGACACAGAACATGTCTGTGAGTCTATGTAAAAAAAAAGTGCACTTCGGATCTGAAACTGGTTGTTTGGAGGAGCGTCCACGTTGACATGCTTTGATGTCCCCTTGTGCCAAGAAGGACGTCCAGACTGGTCCCAGCGTGGACCTGTTAAAACAACAGGCCTCCCGGCTTGCAGCTGTTCGCTTGGAGAGGGTGTAGCCAGGATCAGCCCTTGATTGCACTTCGGCTTCGTTTTCTCGTGGCCTGTACAGCTCCTGAGTTTTCCTCAAGGCTCCTCACATCACTCGCAGAACCCGAGCTCGATGTTGAAATCCAAATTCAGCGAAGTCTGAACCTCAGAACCTAAGACCCTGAGCATTTGAGCCCCGAAACTCTGCAGCGGACCTGAGCCCTGAGCCAAGCACCGTGAACCCGACAGGCCCCCGGGCCCAAACTCCAACTGCCAGGTCACAACTGCGACTGGGCTTTGGCAGCAGGGAAAGCTCCAGGACTACAGAGCCGGGCACGGATACGAGCTTTCACTTCTTTGGGCCAGGGCTTTGAAGAAGCGACACTTCATTCTTCACCACTCGGCCAATCTTGCAGAAGCTGGGTCGCAGGAAGCTGCCAATCTCTTCCGCGAGACCATCTCAGGCAGCGTCAAAGGGCGATTCCCGAATCTCGCAAGTGCCCCATAAAATGTGATTTTAGAATCGCTTGGGCTTCGAACCTGAACCAGCAAGTACCAGAGTATCCCTCATTTGATCTGCAGCCTGGTCAGGTCTCAAAATGACGGATGCCAAGGCCCATGGGGTGGACCTGCGCATAGAACTTCAGGGCCAGGTCAGGCTCAAGACATGGGCTGGGCAGTGGGGCTGAATGTTTTGGTTTTTTGAGAGGGGGTTGGGCCAGAGCTGGGGCAAAGTGGCGGCTCGGCACTTTCCAGCAGGATGCACGAATACAGGCCGATTCGCCAGAAGACGTGCTGCATGTCACTTCTTAAGTCCGCACCTTCAGCCTCCCCGCCCCGCGTGCCGAACCTTGAAGTCACCTCTGGCATCTCACGAAGAGGATGTTGCCCGGGCGCATCCGGGCGCCAAACTTGGTAATGTTTGGTAAAACTCGGCTTTCGGGAGCTTGTCCAGGGGCGTCGGGTCGGGTACCGTATCGCGCTTTAAGTTCTCGTTCTTACGTTCGCGCCGGCTGCTCGAGCAGCGTCCGTCTCACTTGAACGGCATGTGCTGCTTGATGCAGGGGCAGCTGTATTCGGCACAGTCGGCACCTCAATCTACTGAGTTGTTTCAGCATCGTTTGTTCAGTGAGGATCGAGGCTTTAGCTTGTGTAGGGCAGGGTCAAGTCAAGGGTTCCGGGTTGCGCCTTTCCGTGGCCTCTGCCTGCCAGCTGTTAAACCTCCAACCCACGTCGGCAGTGCGTCCAGAAACTTCTCTCCCGAGTTCCACGGTAGTGGCCGTCTAGAAGTTTCGAATGCTGGCTGGAAGAACGACTGTGAAGGAAAGGACTTAGCGTTTGTTAGACGCCCGTCTATATGGGGTCTAAGCGTGAGCAGACAAAAGCCCTAAAGATCACGTTGATACGTCCCACGTCCAGACTTCAGATCTTTGGAGACACCGCTTGGAGTTTCAGATGCCAAGGCATAACCTAAGCCTGGTCATGGTTGCCATGGGGCATCCAGAGGAGCACGACCTCTGTGCGATCAGTCTTTTCACTCAGGGTCTGTTGGGTCTACGACATCGATTATTAGACTTTCCCTTGTTGATGCCGTTCTTATTGCTTGTTGCTGATAACCAAGACTGCTGCTATTCAGACATTCATAAGGTGTCTTGTTCAAGTCTTATCAGTAGCATGCTTTGTCGTCGTAGAAGTGATAATTACTCCGCTAGTCCATCAGCGAGCTGGTTGGCTAGCCCTGGACTCAGCTGTAGAAGCAGGGTTTTCAAAGAGGAGGCAGACCTACCGGGTCCTGCGATATGTCCTGCATTGTCGTCGTAGTCGTAGTCGTAGTAGTCGTCGTCGTCGTGTCGTAGTCGTAGTCGTAGTCGTAGTCGTAGTCGTAGTCGTAGTAGTAGTAGTAGTAGTAGTAGTAGTAGTAGTAGTAGTAGTAGTCGTAGTAGTCACACACTGGGGACGGAAGGTTACAGTGCCAGCGGCACCCCAAAGCTCTCAGGCTCCAACTACTGAGGCCCCAAGTAGCGAGGGCGCAAAGGGCTGAATCAGAGTACAGAAAGACATGTCCTGAGCTGGAGCGCGGAGGTGTGACTTCTGAGCCACCAAATCGTCCCCAAATCGTTTGTACCCTTCCGGTGAATTTCCGCCCTCCTCTCGCTTGTTCCTGCAGGAGGCCCGCGCTGAGTTGCGGATAGCCTTGAGCCCAAAAGAGACATATCGTGTGCTGATCGAGACACTTTCACCTTACTCAGCTCGAATCCGTTTATCAGAGACCCTAAGGCCCTAAGCAAAGACCGAGACTCTGAGGGCCTTCGAACCACTTTGTTGCTTGGTGGTGGGTACTTATGCTCCAACTGATGGTCACTTGATTTGCAACTATTGTTTATCTTTTTCTCCTCTAGCGTCAAAAAAGACGAAAGATCGCGCTTGGCACTGTCAGACTGAAACAACATCGTCTTCACCGCGATGTATTATGAGCCAGGGGCGGAGAGGCAACTTCCCAGGTATGCCTTTGAGCAGAGTGAATCCGACTGAGCGCAAGAGAGCATCACACGCAGCATAGGAAACCAGCGTGCGCAAGTCGAGAATGAAAAAATCAGCATGAGGAATACACATGTAGACTCAATGTCGAAAAGGAGAACGATGTACACAGAGTGGACGCTCCCGACGACAACTCGCCAAGAACTAAGAAGCGCGGAGGCGCGAGTCAAGAAGCAACGCTGAAGTACAAGTACGGAAGAGAGGAGAACCCAACTTCAGGAATCTGCGGAGACACCAAGGGCAAGGACTAAATGAGTGTCCCATACACGCAGCATGAGCGAGGATCCGCACGAAATTGAGTATTCGGGGCATGCCGGCGGTTTCAAGAAAAGCCACCTTTGGCAACATAGCCTTCCCTGCTGGCGACAAGGCCCGACGAGGGCTTGCCACGCTTTATGGGGCGCAACATCCACTTGCCGCGAGCCCAGCAGCCTGAGGATTTGCGACAAGGTGCACGGCCACCGGCGGCCACCGTGCCAGCTCAGGCTTTGAAGGCCGCCCACAACGAGGCGATGGCCGCCAATGCTGCGGGTCATCGCGAGGAGGCCTTGCGTTTCAGGCAGAAGAAACGAGTTTGGCGTCTGGTGGTGTTGGGCTTTGATTCTCTGGTCACTGGTCGCATTCGGACAGCAGGATCGTCTGGCTGTTCATGGATGTATCATGTTCCGCGTTTTTTGTGTGCGTGTGGGCGAGGGGAGACGGAACGAGGTGATGTGTGACGGTTTCATCATGGAGTGCAGGCTTTGGATGGCTCGTTGCCAGTAGCAAGGGCCTGGTCTCAAGATAACCGGTCACAATCGATCATGCGACGAGCCTCTACTCCCACAAAGCTGCCTTACCCTCGACTCGAAACCTCGGTCTCTTCAACGGATTCAACTTTCAATGGATCTGTGAGCCCTGGACATGGTTGTCCCGGTCCCAGAGTCAGAATTTTGGGGCTCCGGATGAGGGATTAGGTCACACACGGAAGCCTTTGCTTTGCTGGATCTCAAGTGAGTCGTGCTGCTGCCAAACACTCTGTTCCCCGACATTGTGGTCAGGCATTGAAGCTGTACGAGGCCCCTTGCAGCGAACTTCTGTTGATGAAGTCGTTTCCTTTTCAGCTGGTTAGCATGAGGTGCACGGCAATTGTCAACAATTTGAGAGGGGGCTGGGGCCTGACATGACACAGTCTGCCCAAGGCCTCGTTCCCGCCGGTTCTTTGTGCATTTCTCGCTACATCAGCCGGTTTTGTGGCCGAGCTTTCCTTGCAAAGGGATTTCTTTCAATCCGATAGTTCAGCAACCCGGTAAGACTGCTTAGCGCCCGTGCACCTGAAGTCTACGGCATCTTGACAGGTTGCTCTCGAGGCTCGATGCCGTGTGCTGGGCTCCCACCATGTGGACCGCTTGGGCATTTGAGCTTACACTTCTGTAGTTATTGAGTCAGAGAGCAGCTCAGGGTTGCAAAGCATCACCTGTGGCATTCGCATGTAGACATGGCCGTTGTGTGAACAGCTTGATGTCGTAGTGCGGCAATGATGCAACATAACCTTTGAAAGGCAGCTTGAAAAGACGACTCCAGTCGTTGGCAAGCCAGAAGGCATGGCATGGCATGGCTCACCGTCCTCAGAGCGAGATCCTCAAGCCCCCAACTGATATTGGGACTCCCAGAAATGCATAGGTTCAGATGCGCCCTGGGAAGCTCCAAACTTCCTGTTCGGAACCTTCTGCATCTCCGTTCTTCGACACCATGACAAACAGGGCCCTGAGTTCAAGACGAGTCTTGACCCCAAGCCTCGGATTTGCGCTTCTTGCAAAATCCCTAGAAGGACACCTTGAAGACACGCTGCAACTACGGTTTGACTCTGCGGAACTGCAGCAGGAGAGGATACCGCGTTCGGGATAGCTCCATGCATGCACACAAGATATACGGAAATTCCTTCTCTGCAATGTATATATACCTGCAGATACATGCATCCGTCCATGCGCAGTCGTACATGCCCATCTGCAGTCATGCGTACATCTTCGTGTGTTTGTTTGCTTGTGTGTATGTTTCGATGCGTGCATGCATGCATAGGTATACGTATAAGAAGCTTCCGCACCATTTCGCTTGCCTAGCCTCTACCCTCCTCACACTCGACAATGCCCGATGTTCTCCTTCGCAGAGGTTTGTAGTCGAAGGTTGCGTTTGCTCCGAGGGCTTCTGCTTTTGGGGACTTGGGCTTCGAGATGCTTCGAGCACAGCATCGGGCTTGACTTTTCGACTGATGTTCTTGAGTCTAGAGTCTAGAGACTTGAGGTGTATAGGGTTCAGGGTTTCAGAGAGGCATGTCTCCGAGAGCAAATGGAGTCCGAGATGTGCGGATTGTCGCATGACCCTGCGTAGATCTTACTCCTCGCATGATGCGTTCAGCGTCAGACATGGCAGCCTCGTAGTGTCTCGGTCCTCAAAGGCTCTTCGGGTGATGTTTGTCATGCCCGGTTTGGTTTTGATAGACAAAATTGCTGGTAGTAGTTCACGGTTTTTGTGCCTTAGACGAGACCAGTAGTTGGGGCTGCGTAGGACCTGAGCAGGCATGAATTGACTTAGTGACGCAGTGCAGTGTTCAACTTCTCACCTTCAGTCCACCGACACGACCCTAAACCCTGCACCCTGCTAGCCTACACGACGTGCTTTAGATGATGTTCCAACAAGGACCGAGGAGGCCGAGATTGAGTTGCGCTTGGCCCTTGTGGGGCTTGCAAGGGCCTGAGCTTCTTACATGGCAGGTGACGAGTTACGGCACAATGGAGATTAAGGCTCCGAGGGCTTAGTACTTCTGGGGATTCGGGCTCGTGGATGAAGCGTTCAAGGTTCTGAGCAGTGCAGGGGGCGATTTCACAGGTTGCGGGTGAGAAGATATTTTGGGGATCTACGCTTCTCGGGGCTTTTGTGGAGTGTGTATCGGAGTGTGTTGCGGGCTTCTTGGGTGTAGCAGCTGGACATAGTTCGGCTTGTTTGCGTTCAGGCTTTAGACTGATTGTTTCTTTGACCGTGATGGCCCTACGGTCCGGAGTACGAGTACGACACACTTGCCGACCTGAATGGTGAGTGGCACGTTCTACATTCAGTGAAAATGTGAAACTCCCACACTTTTCAAGGACTCCCAACCAGAAGGACACAGGGGCAGATACTCCCTAAGCTGTTTTGCTTTTCTGAGAGCCGACAGAAATTTATTGTAACACTCTCTGTACTGAAAACTGTTGTCAGGTGCGGATCCAGCTGCATGCATGCAAACCCAAGCAGCCGTCGCTTTGCAGATGAGTATCACATTTTGGCTTTGATGTGTGTTTCGGTCGAAGTGGCAGCTTGCCAATAAGTGCCTTCATTGACGGACAGTTTCTCTCACACAACAACAAAGCCTTGCATAGTTGCGGTGGACGGGCATCAGGTACAACTCGGAACCACTGTCGACAGCCTTGCAACCGTAAAGCAACGACTCGCCCAACATACCCCCAACACCCGAAACTCCAAGCTGCAGTAGACGTGAGTGCGCCACATTGGCAAGGTTCAACGAAGCCGCAAAAACAAAAGCCTTTTTTGATGTCATCCCGACGTCTGTAACCACAGCCTGGAGGCCTCGAAGCCCAAGTGCACTGTATACAATGTGTTGACGCACGCACCAAGGAGCTTGTGGTGGGCCCACGGCACCCCTTGTCCGTCACAGCCCTGCAGCCGCTTCACCTGCAATGGCGATGTTTTTCAATTCAACTTAACGGTTTTGGTTGCAAGGTCTTGGGTGGGGGAGGGCATTCTCACTTCAGGGGTGTGGTGAGGCATTCTTGCAGTAGAGACATGGTTTTCCTCCCGGCTTCGAGCCAGAGGTAGACCTGTTTGGGGTCGAGGGCTTTTTTGAGCTGTTATCAAAAGCCGAAAGCTCATAAAGATTTAAAAGATCTGCGTGTGCTTTCCACTGGTGTGTTTTCACGCCCCGAAAGAATTCAGGAGCTGGATTCTTTGGAACATGCTTGTTTGATTCACATTCGAAAAGCATTCCACAATCCATTGTGGCTCACCTATTCGAGCCATCCGCACATGGCATTTCCGGACGACGGCCGTGCACCATGTATGAGTAGTGTCGTGTGTCATGCATAAGCGAAGGCACTGCGACAGGTTCCCAAATCGAACGTTGTTCACGATGTTCCGGATTCGTTTCTGAGTACCGTAGCGTTTAATTCGTTATGTTTGTGTATGTATGTATGCATGTGTCTGTGTATGTATGCATGTATGTATGTATGTATATACGTATGCATGCATATCGCGTCATGAAGTGGCATGTGCATATGTCAATGCGTTTGTGTATATACATGTTTTATGACCAATACTAGTCTTAATGATGATCTTAATATGAACCGTAATATTGATATTAGTATCAATATCGCTATAAATATTTACATAAACATACATGAATCATTCTTATTTCTATACGTGTGTGTGTGCATATGTTATATATATATAACATATGGACTTATTTTTGTACGAAGAATTTTGTTAATTTCAGGTTAATATTCCCTTCTATTTGGTCGAACTTATGTTTTACTTCGTGTCGTGTACTTGTTTGTTGTTTACTTTCTGGTTTTTTATCACGATCTTATCTGATTTGTTTTTCACGTTGTTTTTGTTACCGCTCTTTTTTGCTTTTCAACTTTTATTTATAGACTATTGGTTCTGTATGAGATATCTGCTTTTTGTGTTATTCATTCTTTTTTGTTGTCGTGTAGTATTTATTCGTTGTTCAATTTACCCATTGTTATGTGTATGTACTTATTGATTTCGTTTTGAGCTGTTATAATTTGGGCTATTGGCTGTTTAACAAGTATGTATTTCGGGTTTATTTACTTCATTATTTTTTGTTTGTTGTTTATGTAGCATCTATGGTTATAGTTAATTATTGCTGACGACGCCCGGTGTGTGACCGGTGCGTCCTGCTTCGGAGTGATGATGGGCTGGGGGGGGGAGGGGGGTAAGGGTAATACCATTCTTCGTTTATCATTTTTTGTTTGGCGCTCTTTAACGTTTTTTGTTTCAGCATTGTTTCAGGATATACTTTGCTAGTCATTCATCATGTTGGCGTTGTCATGGATGCATGGTGCTGCATGATGTTTGCATGGGGATGGTGGTACTGGATGATGCTGCTGGATGCTGCTTGCATGGGCATGGTGTTGGATGCTACTTGCATCGGGCTGTTCGTCCATCCGTTTCATAAAGTGGCCGCGATAACTTCTTTTTTTTAATAAATATATATACCTGGGCAATCCTTGACGCCTAAAATTATTGCCGGCGCCGGGTAAAGGCGCCTTTACTCTGTTGTCGGCGGGTTTGTTCAGTTGTCGGCGGGATTGCATAATTGGCGGCGGTTTTGTTATTTTGGGTATCTGCAGCATCTTTTCGCTTCTCGAAGCGAGCTCCGATCGCCGGCCAGCCCCCGAAGGCACGCCCACCTGCTCAGTTTGCTATTTGAGATTGTCAATTGTGCTCATGAGCTGCAAACTCGAAATCACAAGAGGTTTGAGGCTCGAGCTTTGATTGGATTTTAGGCATGAAGCAAGCCATCGACATGTCTGAGCAGCTTCCTGTGGCTATGGAGAGCTACAAGTTGCTCGAGACGGCAGGACAGCGATCTAAAGTTGAGCACACAATATAAAAGATTTGGGTTTGTGCTGGGGTTCTTGGAAGGATTGCAAGATATGCCCTTGGCATGGTTCCACGAAGTGCAGTGGACCTTGTGGCCGGATCGCAATGCTCATGCAACCGAGTGGCATTATTTAGGATCTTGCCTAGAGCCCTGAACATCAGTTGATGGCATATAAGAAGATACCTAAGGACGTCCTGACCCATGAGGAGATTAGTGTGTTGGTGGAGAACTACAAAAAGGGCGGATCGGTCAGAGAGCTTGCAAAGAAATATTGGGAGGCATCAGAAGCTTTACGAATCTTCGCTTGCATTGTCTTGTGATATGACGATTTCGGGGAATTTCGAAGTTTCTATGGTCAACCTCATACCCAGGACTCTTCGAATTGCCTGAGACTCCCGAGAAGCAGAACGAGCGCAAGAAGCAGCAGCCTGGATCCGGATCTTCTGTGCAGTAGGAAGCATAGAAGGCGAGACCTGAGATCGCACAGCCGGGCCGCAAAGAGCCACCAATGCTTTGAAGGGGAATCAGTTGTATCATGTGGGCCGATAGTCTTCGCAGATTGTTCCCTTCATAACTGATTACGCAGGCAGTCACCCGATTTCATGGGCACCCGTCCTACACTGAGATTTCTGGTATTGCATCTCGTATCTCACCCTTTCCCTCTGTCGCCCTCTGGCCCAGGTCTTCATGGAGCTCGTCGTCCTGGTGGATTTCATCTTCTTCGTATGCCCTAGGTTCGCTTCAGGTATAATTAAGATCTCTTTGGAGTTGTTTGGTGCCAGGCTTTGCTGAGCAGCGATGTGTCGGTGCCCTACCGGTGCCCTACTTCTCATAGCCGAAGTATGCTGCCACAATTTCTTTGGAGTGAGGTACTGAGTGGAAGGAGCCTATGTGTTTCCGGAGGCTCGCATACTCTCAATCAATCTGATTTCTTGTTGAGATCCATTCACAGGCTTGGGGACGGCTTCTTTGGCTTCCTCATTGGGCGATCCTGGCTTGTTTAAAGCTGGTCGCTAATTGTCGTGAAAAACTTCTCGCAGGCATTTCACGAAATCTGGAGTGCAGCAGGCCAGTTCGCTTCATGGTGAGATCCGATCAAAAACTGACTGCTGCCAGGCCGGGCGACGTGTTGCCCTTCGAGTGCCCACCCTTCCGCTGCACTTTGCATCAGTCCGAAAGTGTATGATGTTTGTGAGCTGGCACGCATGTCTCGTGCAGCTTTCTGGCCTGATCATAGCAGCTTGACCAGCGAGGTCGCACTGCACATTTCACGATTTCACTGTTCAACATATATCGCTTCGCTAGACCCTGAGATTTGTCAATAGAGCAACTCCGAAACTTCGAGATGGCGGAACCCGATGCCGTGGTGCCTGTGATTGTGACCCCGAAAAAGAAAAATTCCAAGAGGGCGGTCCCAGAGATCCAAGGATTGTGGGAGGCCTGGGAGGAGGACCCGGTTGTTCGGAAAGGTGCTCGCAAGCGAAAGAGCCTGTTGTTCTGGCCCAATCCATCAAAGACCGGCCTCATTAACAAGGCAAGCCTCAAGTGCAATTGGAGGGTGGTCTTAGCTGTGGTGCGACTCTATTGCCCTCGAGTTCCCTCGGATGCTCCGACTAAGACCGTTCCCGTTGCTGCATTGAAGGACCAGGTGGCTTAGGGCTTCGGGGGTAGGTTTACGTTATCTGCATTGTTACCCTAAACACCCCTAAGCCCTAAACCTTGAATCCTGAACCTGGAAAAGCACCCGAAACCTTAATTCCCCAGGTGGCAAAGTTCTTCGACGACATCAGCATCACCCCTCGGAGGGGATTGGTTCATTGCGAGGCCCACAGCCTCAAGATGTTTCTGAGCTACATGAACCGACGAAACGATGGCTCTCGCAAGAAGGTTTCTGGTCTTAATTCTTCGGTATTCAGGATCTCTTTAGGGTTTAGGGTTACGAAGATGGTCTTTCTTGTAGAGCTGCCATCAAGCTTCCATGCCAAGTCTCCTAATCCGAGGATGCCACTCTCGCTGCTTTGTACCAGGAGCTGGAGAAGCATTGGGCGCCGAAGGTTCGCTCACGCCGGACCTTGGCTTCGGGTGATGAAGAAGATGATGATGATGAGCAGGAGGAACAGGAAGAGCAGGAGGAAGAGGAAGGTGAGGACGAGACAACCTTAACGGAGCCGGAGGACGATGATGATCGTTTCCAACTGGTTGACCCCTACTTAGCCGAAGCAATGGGTTTGGAGGCCGGGTCACCTCCGCCGCCTTCGGCCTATGTGGGCACGGTTGCATATGAGCCGAGCGAGGAAGCAGGAATCCCGATCCCCTACGAAGCCAAATCCCTGACAATGTGTTCGGCTGCTAATGATGTTGATTTTGTGCGACAACTTGCTGAGATCGAGCATCTTGCTTCATGTTCTTTGCAAGTAAGATATGGTGTGATGCCGTAGTGTTTCGAGGTACTTTCTTGCACAGCATGAAGCTAAGCAGCCAAGGCAGCGAATTGCCCATCGACGGGCAGCTTTGAGTGGCCAGCAGGCTGCCCAGAAGTGGGGTGGAACCTCAGCAAGATAATTGATTCTCGCAGTTATGAACCCAAGCCATATGACCAAGAACTTTGGTACCTGATCCCCGAACCCGAACCTCTCATCCCTGAAGAGAGAACTCGATAGCCCCCTATATATTATGATACCCAATCCATCACATCCCAGGTTCGGAGCACATTGACAGTCAGAAGACGAGCCTTTGGGATCTTTTCGGTGAAGATGCTATGCCGCCCCCGGAGCCCGATGCAATACCCAACGAGCCAGACACCACGACTCTTGCAAGACAGGATGGTGCTAGCGACCTGTCCCTCTTTGAGAATGACTTGGCAGCAGGAGCTACGAAACAATCGACAGTGGCTCCAAATCCAGTTGCTACACCTGCCCGGGCTAAAATTGCTTCGCAGGCCCCAGCAGTTGAGGCCCAAGCAGAGGCTTCGCAGGCTTTAACAATGGAGGATGTCGAGGACCCAGCAATCACCCCAAAGCCGCTGCCCGATGCACTGGAGGCCCCATCAAAGAAATCCCCGCACAGCCTAGCCCTGAAATCTGAAGTTTGCCAGCCGAGCTGAGCTGCCACCCTTTGCAGGTTTCTTCTGTCAAAGACGGCGAAGCTGACAGTCCTGAGCTTCTAGCATGCGAGGTGGGCAATCCTGTTGAGTATCGGCTTTTTTTATGATTTGAAGGCTTCGTCTTTAAATGGGTTCCAGGATAAGAAGATTTCAGTGGGATTCCTAACGTATGACGAGATACCAGAATATCGGCCTCTGGGTTAGCTTTTCGTATCGGCTTCCGGGGCTTTAGGGATGGGGTCTCAAGTTTATGTTTGGGTGGGTCCCAGGCTTTGGGCTGTAGTGTTTCGGTGGCTCTAGAGATACCATGGGGTCAAGTAGTCTCCCGAGGCTTTGGTTTTTAGTATTGGGGCGGTTCTATGTCGGGACTGCTGTTGGGAGTATGCTTTGAACTAATTAATAACTAAAAACTATAACTATCATCTACTAAAGTCCATTAGGTTAGGCATTCGGGTGGTAGTCCTGAGGCAAAAGTCAGCAGACGCGAGCAGATGACTGCAAGGGAGAAGGCAAAGCAGTGCGAGGCCGAGGACGAAGACGACGATGACGACGACGTGCCGATCAAAAAAAAACCGGCCATGGCCAAGGGCAAGCCTGGAAGGCCGAAGGGATCCGGGAACAAGTCGACGAAGACCGACAAGGACACGGCGAAGAAGACGGGCAAGAAGAACCAGGAGAAGGAGAACGACGAAGCCAAGACGCTGCCGAAGAAGAAGGGCAAAAAGAAGGACCCCGAATCGGAGGACGAGAACGACGAAGACAAGACGCCGCCGCCGCAGAAGAAGGGCAAGAAGAAGGACCCCGAGGACAAGGAGAACGACGAAGACAAGACGCCGCCGCAGAAGAAGGGCAAGAAGAAGGACCCCGAGCCGAAGAAGGAGAACGACGAAGACAAGACGCCGCCGAAGAAGAATGGCAACAAGAAGAAGGACCCCGAGCCGGAGGACGAGAACGACGAAGACAAGACGCCGCCGAAGAAGAAGGGCAAGAAGAAGGACCCCGAGGACAAGGAGAACGACGAAGACACGGCCCCGCCCAAAAAGAAGGACAAGAAGAAGGACCGCGACGACAAGGAGAACGACGAAGACACGGCCCCGCCCAAGAAGAAGGACAAGAAGAAGGACCGCCAGGACAAGGAGAACGACGAAGACACGGCCCCGCCCAAGAAGGACAAGAAGAAGGACCGCCAGGACAAGGAGAACGACGAAGACAAGACGCCGCCGAAGAAGAATGGCAACAAGAAGAAGGACCACGAGGACAAGGAGAACGACGAAGACACGGCTGCCACGAAGAAGAGCAAGAAGAAGAAAGTTGACGACGAAGACACGACTCCGCCGAAGAAGAAGAGCAAGAAGCCAGACGCCGAGGAGAAGGAGAACGACGAAGACACGGCTGCCACGCAGAAGAAGGGCACGTTTGCTTCGAGAAATCCGGGAAAGGGTGCAAGAACAGTGGCCATTTGGACGGCTATCCGGGATGCATTCGATTGTGTTCTTCGGGACAAATTTCGCTACACCACGAAGATGGAGGATTGGTTGTTTGTTCAACATATATTATATTCTAATCGTAGCTCCAACATATTTCGAAAGAGCCAATCTAGTCCTTGCTTTGTTCGCAGGGCCTTTTCTGGGCCGATTGCCGGCCCGTGCTGCTCGAAGTGAAGGACGATACTGAGCTGTTCCAGGCGGCTAAGAAGTTTGCTGCCAAGTGGTTGAAGATGGACAAAGTTCAGGGTGCCCCGATGGTACAAGCAACCTTTGCCAAATCTACGCTACACCCTGAAACTAAAGCCCTTGACCACCTGAACCTTAAACCCTCAACTAGAAGTCCTGAAGCCTTAAAACCTTATACCGAGTAGTGCCAGCCAACGAGACACTTATCCGAGGTCAGCTGAAATGAAGCGATGCGATGACCGGCCAGCTTTTTGCGACCATCCTGAGTTCACGCCAAGGACTTGGGCCTCTTCTTATGAAGCTTCTAGGTGCTGCTCTCTCTAGAAACCCATGATGGGTGTCTGCTTTCCAGAGGCGAGTGTGAGCTCACATCCTACCACAAAGTACAGGGTCCTGAACTGATACCGGTTGTGTCTGCAATCGTGACCGCATATAGGTAGCACTTCTTTGGGATGCCACACACTGCCTCTTAAAGGAAGTATGACTCATGGCTGTGGCGAAGCAGTGCAAATCAAGCTCCCATGCCCCAAACACAAGAAAGAAAAGAGCGAGTGAAGTCATGCAGCGATTGCACAGCTGCAGAGATTCCCGACCAGTCGCCTTCACGAAGCCCGAAATACGAGCCGAGCCGCAGGTACCGCGATGCCGTTTTGTGCGGCTTTCCAGCAGCACGGCTTGGACGGTGGCACCTCGAGCTGAGCTGCCATGTTTTGGGTGCGGGCTGAGGGTACGGGTTTAACTTTAGCACTAGGACCACCCTGAACTCCATACCTCAGCCGCAACCATCTTGATCCCCTTTGTTGGTTCTACAGCCCGAAGGGTTTGGTAGGATTATATATTTGTTGCTAGTTTCTCTTTGGGATGTCCGAAGGGCCTGAAGTATCAGGGTTTTTTCCTTAAAAGGGTTTTTCAGGTTATCACGTGTCAATGTTTGGGAGCTTGGCTTTCTGAGGCCCCAACTTTTCTCTTGGGTTGCAGGGGTTCCCGCTGGGGCTATGCAGTTCTGTGTGTAATTCTAGCAGAAGTGCTTTTATCATATACTAGTATCAGTAGCATAAGCTAGCCAATCCGAAAACTATGAACCTCCCTGGAGAACTCCATCTCGCAGTCCAGTGCCCTTATACTGTATCCTAGAAGTAGTGCCAGAAGACACCCCAACCCGAAACCAATGATCCCTTGCCTGGCAAGTTTCTCTTTTTGAGAAGCATCCAAGCCAAACAGGGATCACGCTGAGGGCGGATTCATCATCCTTGGCTACGGTTTAGATACGGCTTTGGGGTCCGAGCTCCCGTCTCACGCTTTCGGTCGCTTGCAATTTTCAGGGTTTAGCTTCAGTCTTGAAGGTTTTTTTCGGGGTTACCTTGAGTCTTCAGGCTTTAGTTGGGTCATTCATTGGAATCGGTGGCTTATGTGGATTGTTGGGCTCATGGGTGCTGGAAGATTCTGGGGCTCAGGGCTTTATTACATACGGTACTTAGAGGATCATGGGACTTAGTAAGTAGGTTATAATTGGGGTTATAAGTCCCCTAAGTGGGGTTATCCTAATTATAAGCTACTTGTAACCTTACTTACTAAGTCCCATGATCCTCTAAGTATAGGGCCGTTAAGGTTATAGGTTGCACTCGACAACAGCATCATCTTCTTGTTCCTCCACACAAGAAAGCCTGTTCTGTAACCGAACCTACGAAGTCCGACCCTGCACCCTGAACCGCAATTACATCGTTTGCTGACAGGAGTCAAGATATTGAAGTTGTGTGACCCAAAAATTCCCGAACAATCCTAAGCCTCCCAGCCCGTAACCATAAGATCCCAAGCCTCTAAGACCCTAAACCTCTAGACCTCCAGCCATAACCTCAATATATCCGCAAAGCCTCTAAAACCCTAAGTCTATAAACCTCCAGTCCCCTTTACCACAAACTCTACAAGCCTTTAAAACCGCAAGCACCTAAACCTCCCAGCCCCTTTGACTATTAGTAGATCCCGGGACACACAACCGTAAGTGACGAGATCCAGTGCTCGCTTGAGCTTGCAAGTCGGGCTCTGAAGCCGCCACACCGTGCCGGCAGTGCTGCCTCGTAGTTTTGGATGATGCAGAAATAATCGCTTAAGTTTAGGACCAGGTGAGGTCGCATATATGATATATATGGCACTTTGCAGGTCTGCTCATAATTCAGGAATATCTAGAGAAACTATAGGCTGTGGGTAACGATGGCTTCGTCCGATGGGAACCCAAGTCGGCAGTCCTGTGTGGCAGAAGGTTGTGTACGTTTTGCCTTCGAAGGGAATCTTTTCTGCTGCCGTGGTTGTCGCAAGAATAGGCGACATTCGAAGAAGTGTTCCAGATTGAACCCCGAAGCCGTTGCTCGCGAGCCCATTGGAGACTGCCCGAACTGTGATCGCAAGGTTTTGCCTCCGCACCTGCACTGCTGCTCTGTCTGTCGTCTTTGTCCTGGGCAACACAAAACGACATGCCTCGCAAGGGCCGAGTTTGCAGGGCGAAAGTTCCTGGACGAGATGGACTGAAGCACAGTCGGCAGGGGTATGAAAAGGAGAGCTAAGACACTGGTGCAGGGTTCGTGTGAGGCTGAGGCAAGGAGAGGCAGGGATAGAGGATAAGGGAAAGGGAAGGCGAGAGAGAGAGAGAGAGAGAGAGAGAGATATGTGTGTGTGTGTGTGTTTTGCCACGATTTCGGTGGCTCTTCAGGCCAATTCAGCAGCTTGGGCAGGGATTTTCGGAGTTCAGCTCTGATTTTAGGAGTTCTGCTTGGCTTTCGGTGTTTTGGGTGGTTTTCAGAGGGTTTTGGGCGGTTTTGGTGGTTTTGGGGGGGTTTGGGGGTCCAGGAGTGGCGGCGGGAATGCCCGGGATTGCTGCGGGAATGCCCGGGTTGGCGGCGGGATTGCCCGGGAGGCCCCCAGCAGCCCTAAACCTAACCCCTAAACCCCGACTCGACCGGCAATACACAGCAGTTTTGGGCTCTAGATCCGGCTTTCCGCTGGTGATAATAGGGGCAATGGAAGCTGATCCAGAGCTTCAGGCTTTGGCTGCTCAGAAGGCGGCTTTGATGGTACCCTGGCCCAATTACACGAGATTTGTAACTCTCACCCAAAACCCTCATCCGAAAACCCCGAACCTAAAACCACTTCGCTTGCAGGCCAGGATGCAGGCCCTTGGCATCGCGGGCAAGCAGGAGCCCGGTTGCAGTCAGCCCCACATCCTGCCGCAGTGATTAAGGCTTTCGGTGCTGCTGATGCATGTTTCGCTCCTTCAGGAGAAGCCTCTTCGTGCGACCTCCTGGCATTCCTCCCAAACGGGATCCCAACAGGACCTGATGCCAGAGTCCCAGTCAGAGCTGGAAGTGCCTGCTACGCAAAAGGAAGCTGACACGCAGCTGCCTGCTTCGCCTGTCCCTGCCTTGTCAGAAAGCCTTGGTAAAGGGACACCCCAGAGCGAGAGGTCCGAGCCCACGCCGGGGGAGGGGACGAACTCCAACCCCGCACCCAGCCAACCCACGCCTGAAAAGAAGAATACGAGTTCCGAGCCCGGAGCCAGCCAACCCGAAGCCGTAGAGCAAGCCGCCCTAGGATCCCAAAGCAAGTCAGAAGCACCCGCCGTGGAGACCAGCCAGCCCGAGAAGCCAGACACGTCAGAAGCACCCGCCGTGGCCAAGACCAGCCAGCCCGAGAAGCCAGACACGTCGAAAGCACCCCCCGTGGCCAAGACCAGCCAGCCCGAGAAGCCAGACACGTCGAAAGCACCCCCCGTGGCCAAGACGAGCCAGCCGGAGAAGCCAGGCACGAACACCCGGCCCACAAACAAGGACACCAAAGATCCGAAAGCAACCAAGAACGAACCAGAGGAGGATGAGTACGTGGCCCCGGTGGAAGATCACCCACCCCCTCCTCCCATCAGCAAGGCCACTTTGATGAAGAGGCTGGCACGCATATGTGCACCCAAAGCGGATGGGACCTACAAAGTCCCGCTCGAGATCATCCAGACCCACAAGAATCTGGAATCCCGGGATGATGTGTACCGTGCCTTCGAGAAATGTGGTGGCGACCCCGCTTCGCCGTCACGCTTGCAAACGGTAAGAGTGCCATGGTGAGGGGGAGTGTGTGTGAATTTTATTTAATGTGTAGCTTGGAAGCCAGGTGATTTTCACGAAGAAAGTCAACCAGCGATACGAAGAGATCAATGAGAAATCTGTGGAAACGGAATTCGAATTCCTCACAGAGGCGGAGATGGAAGAGAAAGGATGGAGCGAGTGCCTCGCTAAAACAAACCAGTTTCATGAGCTCCTGTTGCATGACTATCTACACTCTCCTGTGGCTCCTTCACGGTCCTTGCAGACTAGCAGTGCTGTTCTTCTCAGTGCTTTGCTGAGGAAGAAGATCAAGGGTGCCAAGAAAAGCTGCGAGCGCCGGCAGGGGTACAAGAGGAGATGCAACAGTTGTCTTCCGTTTGCATACGAATGTTTTGCTAGTGATTCTGTGCCTGATGCTAGTCTCTTGCACAGGAAATCCGAGTACTGTGACGAGTGGATGTACTGGGTTGCTGTGCGAGTGAGAGGATCCAACAAGTGCCGTGGCTAAACATTATATTCGTTACACGTATACTTTGATCGCTACAGCCTAACCTTGAAACCCTACCCTTTCCATCTACCTCAGGAAGACGAAGCGGCACACCGTGACCGAGCTCCTGGAGGGTGCCGACCAGGAGCCCATGCAGGATCCTGATGAAGCAATGGAGAACTTCCCTTTCGAGCTTGAGGGAGACGGAGATAAGAAGCAAGGGGAAGGTACCTGGGTGTCGATATCGGGCTATTGTTCGTGGTGCTATTAAATAGTGCCTTGTTCTTCAGGTTCCGGGGCTTTTTGCTTTCCTGTCTTCGGCTCGGTATTAAATAGTCTTGTTTAGTATATACTGGGGTTCAGGATATTAAATAGTCTTGTTTAGTATATACTGGGGTTCAGGAGGGGTCAGGGCTTGTGTTTGCGAATTCGCCAAAGTAGGGTTCGTGAGGGCTGGTCGGAGGCTGTCGTGATCCCACTAAAGCCAATCGGGGGCCTGGCTAAGTTAGGGATTAAAGCCTGGGTTTAAGGTGTCAGATTCAGGATATACCTGTGTTATGTCTTTGGAAAGAAGTGTCGAGGCCAAGCATCAAGCAACATGTCTAACTTGCCTAAACCTTAAACTTAAGATCCCGATCCCTCAAGTCTAAAGAAGAAACTCGGAACACCACATTCGGAAGCTCAATATCTACGGGTGCCGATCGAGATCCCCATTCCTAGATTCTATGGCCAATAGTCATCCCCAGCACTAGACCCTGTAGTCATTGAACCAAACCTTAAACAACCCAAAGGCCAGGACTCCAATCCTTGCTGAGCATCAGCAGACTTGTCGCTCCATTACCCAAACCCGTTAAACCTACGATATAGCCTAGCTGCAAACCGCCCGACCCACGACCCACGCACGGTGATATATGGTCGTCGACCCTTGGCCCGAGATCCCTACAAGTAGAATCCTCAATCCCTGGGACCTTCAACCCCTGGAAAACTAAAGCCTAATCCCCCAACAGCTTATTCCCCAAAGGCTTAGATTCGAAGCCCGAAATCCAAAGATATAGGATACCTATACAAATCCGCAAATGCAGCCGGCAGGTGATGACGAGGAGGAGAGTGACTCCAGTGATGATGGGGAAGAGGCTGCCCGGATCCTCAAAAGGATCGCCTATCCGGAGATTCCCAAGAAACCGCAAGATGCCAGTATGCTGGTGACCGGCTGCCTCCAGAAGAGGGCGAACAAACTCCAGCTTCTCCTGGCGAAGATGGAGTCGGATGCAAGCATCTCCCTCACCACGACCCAACTCAAGATCCTCATCTAAACAATTATTTGTAAATGTGCTTGGGCCTAGTCGATGCACTGTGTGCTTCAAATCCCAAGTAACTCAGAAAGCAAGGTTTCGAGACAGCCTCAAGATGGTCATCGACGCAGTGGGTGATTTGGAGGACAGAATTACGACTATCTATAGTCGTGGGATTGCTGCTGGCTTCACGAAGGAGAAGCTTGTCTTGAATTTCCTAGTCCAGTACCTCGCTCTTGTTGAGTAGGATTGTAAGCCTGAAGCCCCTTCAGCCCCTGAATCCTGACAAGGGACCAGAAGAGGCTTCGCATGCTCTTCCAGGAAGCGAAGACGAAGCACCTTGGCTTGGCATCTGTGCATACCACTGATCTTCAACCTGAGTGTTTGTTGTGTCTAAACCCTAAACCCCTAAACCCTAAACCGTAGTCCTGCCGCCTGATACCCTTCCATTCAAATCTCGCAAGTCAAGAATACCCAGGGCCATGGAGGCAGAGATGATTTCTGAGCGATCGAAGAGCATGAAGTTTCTTGTCTTTGTATTGTGTTGTGAAGACTATTTGCTGCTTTCCAAGCGGTTTCTGTCCAACTCATCATCCATGTACGTTCTGCACCCAGGATGCCGACGAAGGTACCCGAGAAGCCCGATCCGAAAACAAAGGCCAAAGCCAAGCCGCATGCCAAAGGAAAGGTGGCCCCTAGGAAGAAGGCGGCTGATGATGAGGAAGACGAGGAAAAGCCCAGCAAGCGAGCCAAGAAGTAGCCACGCCTCGTGTAAGTGCTAGCAGAGTTCAGCTCCGCAGGCAGTGCCAAGGGTTACTACTCTAGTCGGTATAATACTGTTGTGATAGGACAGCTCGTTGCAGGCACCGCTGAGCTGATTCATGAGATTCAAACAGTGTTTTGGACACTGTGTCTCGCCAGATCGTTGCTGGGTTGCCGCTGCAAAAGTAAGTGAGTCTGTGTGTGTGTAAGTATTTAGGTAGATAGGTGGGCGATAGGTTGGGCAAGGCAGGGCAGGTATGGGTAGGTAGGGAAGTAGGTAGATTCGTCGATAGGTTGGCGGGTTAGTTTCTAGCTAAGATCTTGGGCTTGGACTTGAAGTGACTTGAGTAATTATCTCTATTCCGGATTCGGGCTCTAAAATGTTCAACCCTCTCCTGGAAGCTTAGGCTAATGCCCCAAACGGAAACCCAAATCGAGCCCTCGCCCGAAACCCTTACCACTATTCCCTAAACCATTGTGCGAAGCGACCTGAAGCGCCGGAGGACCCCCCCATGCCATACTTATGAGGTCCAGCCTACAACTACATCCCGAACAACCTTCAACCCCCCAAGCCATACTTAGGAAGCTCTAGCCTACAACTACATCCCGAACAAAGCCCCTAAAGTTCGCAACCCTACAACCCTACCCTCGCATGCCAGGCTCCGACGAGGAGCCGGTCGATTTCGGCCGAGCTTCCCAGTATGCCGAGATGCTAGGCGAGGGAGTCCGGATCCTCGGATTCTGTTGGAGTTTAGGTTCGGTTTATGGCCTAGGGACTTATGGTGGAAGGCTTAGGGTTCTTTTTGCCACCCAAGGATTTATAAGGGCTCACGGTCTGGAGCTTACGATTCGGTGCTGAGGCCAATGTACCTTTAGGGCTGCAGCTTCGGAGCTTTATGGTTGGGGGAAAGGCGAGACTCATAGTCCAAGGGTAAGGTTTCATGCTGACGGTACCGAATCGTGTAAGCTTGAAGGTTTATGAGTGGGGCAAGCTTTCATTCATGATCGCAACAGAATCTTCCAGGATCGACATATTATACTTTTTCGGATTGAGGAACAAGCCTTTCTAAAGTTTATGCGATGCAATGTGATCACTATACGACTAGCCCTGAGGGTTTGATACAAAACTCAAGCAGGTCGGGCATCGGCCGGGTGACCAAACCTTGAAGACCCCATACCCAAAAACCCTTAAACCCTAGAGCCCCTGCTCTCGTAATAAGAGTAATGCATCGTGTCTTTCAACAAGCTCCCGATGTTCTGCAATCCCGAAATCCACGCCGCAATCCCATTCAAAAGAAACGAGAAAACCCGAGTCGTTAATCTTTTAGGGTTTGGGCAAGTAGAGCTTAGGGTCTGGGTTCAGCCGACTTCTATCCGTCCTCGAAGCTGAAGTTCCAAAGCCTTCATTCAGTATCAGGAATTCCGAAGAGCCCCCAACCCAAAGTGCAATCAGAAGCCCAGGCTCATTTCCGAGTCGATAAGGGTGTCTCCAAATTGGACATTTGGGAAATCGTTATTTGTATCAAGAATATATTCTGTACTGGACATCTGAAAGTTTATTTGGTATACTTAAGCCCGCTCTAGAAAACCCAAAGGCTATGTTTCTAATGCTTAGTGTCCCGCCAAACCTAACGTGCCGAGGTCACTGCGAAAGACACCAAACGGTGCATCAGTCAGATGCTGCATCCGGAGCAGCCGGAGGAAAAAAGACGGCAGGCACCGAACGAGGAGAGAGATTGTCACAGGTTCTTTAACCACTGGGGTTTATCTTTGCCTGTGCCAATAATGGAAAAGGCTTTCGTGCTGGAGGACAGAGAGAAAGTTGATACTGCTTATATACGAGTGCAAGACTGGATGCAGTACCTCTTGAAACGGAATCCTTCATTGCTCGCTGGGGGCAACGAGTCTTTGGAAAGCCAGCTGGAGGCCTTCTGGATGGCTTACAGACAGACTCACAGCACCCATCCGGTGTTCGATCGAGGGCTGGACCTCGGGACCACGATTCCGCTGGCTTTTTATTCAGACGAAGGCAAGGGCCCGAAGCGAGGCAACTTCGTAGTGGCCTCCATCGAGTCGCCGATCGGCTTGTGGGATGTGCCCGATGACTTTACTTGCACTTGCAAAGAGGATGTGGAGAAGTCGCCGCAGCAATTTGTTCCGGGCCAGCAGGCAGCCGGCCCGTACACGCCGATGGAGCACGCCGCCCTGAAGCAAAGCCATACAAATAAAGGCCACTCCTACCTCACCAGACATGTGCTTTTTGGCCTCCCTGACTGGGTCTACAAACACCATCCAGAAGTTTTGGAACAGATGACACAGCAGGTTGCTGACGAGCTCACGATGCTTTTTTCTTCAGGCCCGGAGGTTGGTGGGAAAATTTACACGGCTTGCTTGGTTGGGATCAAAGGCGATATGAAGCAAATCGCTGAAAAGATTGCTTATCTGAACCGATACTATGCCCGTTTGGGTCCTGTGAACCACAATGGTGTCTGTGCACATTGCATGGCGGGCACGAGTGCAGCGATTCCTTTTGATGAGCTTGCTCACGAGCCATCCTGGGCTTCGACACTTTACCAGCAGCGACCTTGGGACTCGACACCTGGTATGTGCAATGTCCCTCATGACAACGATGCACCGGAAAGAGTCCTGAAATATGACATGTTTCATCTTTTCAAAGTTGGGCTTGGGCGAGACATTTGTGGCTCCCTGGTTTTATTGGCTCGCCTGGGCTATTACGATGATCCCGATGGCAGCGATGAGACAAACATCAAGGCGAGGCTCAATCGAGCCTTTGCACACTTCAAACTGTGGCGGCTGGCCTCGCATAAAACCGCAGCTTTGCGATACTTTTCGAAGTCGTTATTCAATCTGAAACGGTTGAGCGACTTCGCATGGACGAACTCCAAGGGTTCGGATACCATGCTCTTGTTGGAATATCTCAGCTTCTTTGTGGCGATCCTGCTGAGAAGATCCAACTTGCCAGCTGCACATGCTGTTTTGTTTCGTGTGCTGAAGAAGACGATCCAGGAGTCCCAGAAGGCCTTCAATTTGATGTACAAACATGGTCTGTGGCTCCCCAGGGCATGTGCCCAAAATCTCTATTTGAGGTTGATGTCCATGCTGTCGGGCTACAAGCATCTGGGTGCAAAGGCTTTGGCGATGGATATGCCGTTCTACTCCTTGAAGCCCAAATTCCACGGCATCCATCATGTGGCACATGAGATCCGAGTGGCACTGCTGGCCAATGCAAAGCTCATCCCGAACCCCATCATGTGGGGGTGTGAGCAAGGAGAGGACCTTATCGGTCGAGTCTGTGCTCTGTCGGTCCGAGTTTCTGTGAGAACCATAAGCAAGAGGGTGCTGCAACGACACTTCCTCAAAAAAGCGGCTCTCATCAGGAGGCACCGAGCTGACCGAGCACAACGAAAGCTGCGGCTCTAAAGTGTTCCACGGGCTCTAAGTATACCATTCCCTGTAAGTATATCTAAATCAGGTTTAGGGTCTGGGTATAAGCATAGGAAGCCCAAGGAGCACCAGGCTTGCAGCAAGGACTCTAGCACTCCAGCAGTCGGCAGTCGTCGACGAATCGCCGGCAAAACGAAGGATGGAGTGCCGAGGGGTTGGGGTTTAGTGGGGTTTAGGGGAGTTTAGGTTTCAGGGCTACAAAGTCCTCTGAAGGACGCACAGCTAATCTTCGAGGGGGTTTGGACTGCCGGGCTCTGCGGGTTGAAAGGTGCTTCAAGTTCAGGGCTTCGGGGTTCTTCGAAGAACAGCTCTGAGCCACAAGGCCTCTCAAACCTCGAAGGTTCTGGTGGCTCCGGGATTAACTTCACACTTTGGACTCCCAACAACGAAACCTCGGC